TATTTTTATTGGGTCCATTGTATGATGCGTCCGGATCCGGATAGCATGCATGGAATGTACGGATAACACTGCCTGCAGAAATCGATTGCCCATGTCTCGTGTGCGAGCCGGCGAGGCTGCGTGGGCCAAGATGCCTAAAGTGGTATGGGAGAATGCTGTCGTTTGGGGGGGGCGACGTTCTTGTCTATGTAGAATGCGGAGTTCTTCGCGCTGACGTATGGCGCTGTCGTAACCCAGGCATGTGACCTTGTGCGCATGTGATAAGCTGATCGTCTCCGTCTTGCAGCTCATCAAGGACTTCGAGGACTTGAAGGAAGTGAATTCGCAGCTTGAGAAGATGGGCTACAACATTGGCATCCGTCTCATTGACGAATTCCTTGCAAAGTCGGGTGTCGCGGCGTGTGCGGACTTCAAGGAGACCGCTGACGTCATTGCCAAAGTCGCGTTCAAGATGTTTTTGGGCATCAACGTCGACGTCGCACCCACAGACATGCCCAATGTCTGCTCGCTCGTGCTGTACGAGAATCCGTTCTCTGGTACGTCGATGCGTCATCTCAACTGCGATTTATATTGAAGTATAGAGTTCGTTGAGCTCCCGCCCCAGGCACACGGTGTCCTCGCGTACTCCAATATCCTGTGCGGCGTCCTGCGCGGTGCCCTCGAGATGGTACGCTCGCACTTTGACCTTGGATGCTTCACTTTATGCACACACAGGTCCAAATGCGCGTGGAAGCCAAATTCACCAAGGACACACTTCAGGGCGACGACGTGACGGAGATCCGGTACCTCGTTGCCAAGCTCGACCTCTCTCTCCATTGACTTTTCACGTAGATTGGAGCTCAAGGGGATGATCGAAGAGGCAATGGGCGACGAGTACAAGGAAGAGTAGGAGATGACTTCGCGTCGGTCCCACGCACCATCCCGCGTGCCAAGGTGATACGTAGGTAGTCTCTACATCACAACAACAAGCATCGAGAACGAGGAGATTGCTTCACCGCGCACATTGTTTGTCCATCAACTGAGGAGACACGCGTCAAGCAAACGTAATGGTTTTTTAGTTGAAATAGGGCCCCGGAAGCACATTAGCGCTGATACGAGATAACACTGGCGCGAACCTCTTACTGGATCTTGCCCGAGGCTTCCTTGGCGGCGTCCGTGGCCTTCTTCAAGGCGGCGTCGATCTTCTCGACCTGGGGCATCAAGTTGGGCTTGATGAGCGACTGGTAGATCGTGTTGGCGCCGAGCGTCGACGGGTGGTAGCAGTAGACAAGGAAGGCGATCTTGAGGAAGAAGTAGAACGGAATCCACGAGAGGAAGATGTCCGTAAACTGCTCCGTGAGGTTAAAGGCCGAGTACACGACCCAGTAGGTGAGCCACTGCGTGTCATCGTTCGAGTTGTCCGTGTTGAGCGCCTTGAACGACATGTACGCGGGGTAGATGAAGCCGACGAGGTTCGAGATGAGGCTGGCGCCGCCGATGACGAAGAGGAGAACACCGGCAACGAGGGCGCCCACAAGGAAGATGTAGAACTTCTCGACGCCGATCTGAGCCTCGAGCTCGTTGAGCTTCTCGTAGCGGTCAAGGCGCTTGGTGATCTTCTCCTTGTAGTGCAGCAGCTGATCCATGATGCTTCTTCCTTCTCGGCAACTTGCAAAGTGATGTCCGACGAGCCACACACGCCAGGCCCTCCGTATCCGGATTCCCGTTCTTTTTTCGACCCCATACACAAATAGAGGTCAAGCTGTGAAATCCTGTCGGAGTCATCCGGATATGCCGGGATGGCATTAGATTTGGAGGGTTTGGGGTATTTTGGGACGCGCGGTTCAACGTCGTCGCCATTTTGATTCAGCGCATTCTAGTACCTAACCGCTTGGCAGTCTCTTGCTGTACGTCTCGTGTGTTGAAGGGAGTCGGTGATGCTTGGTGACACGCAGGCGGTGTTGGCATGTTGCAACGGCAAGACAGGCGAGAGGTTCTCGGGGCAGAGAATCATCTTCGCGTCGAAATGCAGGCCGTTTCATCAAATTACGGGAAAGTTCTGCAAAAGTAGCTCCAAAATAGTCGTCGGAATTTTAGCCAATTGCAAGTGATATCCACCAATTTAAGGCGATCTCGCTTCTGGATTGGCGGAGGCACCGTTCACGAAACAAAATGTCGGCGTTTGATTGGAACCGTCCAGGTGTGTGGGACCGCCCCTTTCTTGAACGACACCCAAGAATAGCGCGCGCTTTTGCCACGAAGCGCGTCTTTTCCGAGGGTTTTGAGGTGCGAGCTTGCAGTGTGAGCAAAGACAAATGCCCCAAGGCGCTCGAGTAGCACAAACGAGCTCTGGACGCAGCTTGGCGCTTGGTTCGTACCACGTTGTTTGTGTTGTTACCAGTGTCGACCTTGCGTTGATCCAAGTTGGTTGGGTGCTTGGCACGCACGTGCAGGCAAATGCAAAACCTGTGACATCAACCATTGCACGACTTCTGCCCTCGATGCCTTACTGCACGAGGTTCTTAGTGCTGTAGGCTCGTCGATGCTAGCCCTCGCGATGCCGGCTCTTCGGTTGGATTTGGGCATCGCAGACCAAGTGCTTATTTTCGGCACACGACTCCATCGCGCCGAATTAGACGAGTATCCTCGCTTGACTCGGCTTTTGTATGGCCCCGACAGTCGATCGATGCTGGCGTGCTTCCTCGCATCGGCAGCTGTTGGGCTTGTCGCGAGCTTGGACGTTTGCTCGATTGGCAGCAGTGCAGCCATGGTCACGACGGATCGCCTCTTCCGCCACATCGAGCTCCACGCAGCCAAAGCCGGCGCATGGGGCCGCGTCCTCGACGCCGGCACGGGCGACCACTCGCTCAACTGGCTCAAGACGCTGCCCATCGACAGTATTGTCGCCGTCACGGGCGACACGACGCGCGCTGTGGGCCTCCGCGAGAAATTCCCGCAGCCGCACATTGAAGTTCTCGCTGGCAACTGGAACGACCCTACCTTTCTGAAGGACCAAGTCTTTGACGTGATTGTTGCCGACTACCTTGTGGGCGCGATCGAGGGTCACGCGCCTTACTACCAAGACGAGATCTTTCCTCGTCTCATGCCGCTACTGGCGCCTGGCGGCCGGCTGTATGTTGCGGGTCTGCAGCCCATAACAATGAGTGTTCCAAGCGGACGTGCGCTCTCGACCCAAGACAAGCTCGTTTTGGAGATGGCGCGGACGCGCGATGCATGCATCCTCTTAGCCGGCCACCGCACATACCGCGAATTTCCCCTGGATTGGGTCCTGCGCCAGCTGGAACGCTCGGGTCTCTCTGTCGAGTCAAAGGCGCAGTTTGCGAACGTGTACACAGCAACGACCATCAAGCGACAGGTAATGAAAAGCCAGGACATATGCAAGCACGTGACGACGTGCATCATTCTAGGTGCAAGTTGGCCGCACGAAGCTCCCACTTGTTCAAGACGCCATGTTGGCCAAGTCCATGGGCAAGTACCTCGACAAGCTTGACCAGCAAGCTGACGATGCGACCCGTGACGGGTCGTTCGAGTTTGGCTTTGATTATGTCGTTGCCGCGACTAACTAAGCCTACTGAATAAAAATATTCACACGGTTGAACGCAGCGTTGTTTGAACTAACATGTATACCGGTAAATGAACTTGCTATCTGACACTCGGGCACCCTGCCCCCATCGCAAGAAGCCTATCAAGCAGTCGGTCTTTGGCGCCGGACCCCGATTGGAGCTGCAAAAGCTCGACCACAGCCGTGTGTTGTGCGAACTGCGCGGCCTGTGTGGCTGTGGCCCCGCTCGCATCCACCGCGCCCACGACGTCGCATAGAAGATCGTAGCGCATGAAAACTCGGACACACTCGATGTGGCCTGCTTCCGCTACGATGCACACGCATTTTCACTCTAGTCGCTGTACGGACGACGTACCAGCCAGGTGCAAAGCCGTCTGACGCATCTACGTTGTCGAATTGAGCCAGCGGAATGACCAGACAACCCATTCGTCTACGTGTTTGGTAACGGCGCCAAGCTGCGCACCAGCTTGAAGAAGTATGTCGGCAATCTTGTGATACCCCATTTGGCCTGCGATATGCAGGGGCGTGAGCGCGTCGCCCTAGAGATTATTTTTGCGTCCTCTTTGGTGTACCTATATTGCCCTACATTAGTCGTTGGCGAGGGCAGTGCGTCGCAGCTTGCAAGCTCTTGCACAGTTTCCAAAGACCCCGACTCGACTGCATAGTGCATAGCGCGCCGACCTCCCTGCAGTACGCTTCAAGTCGATGCCAAAAGAGCAACTTGTCAGTACCGCCGCCTCAATCTCAGTGTCTGCGCCAAAGCGCAACAGCTCACGAACGATACCGGCTTGACCATGCCGTGCAGCGCAGTGCAACACCGTGTAGCCTTCCTACGTGAGCGTTTGTAGTCTTTCATCATGGCCGGACGCACCGAACTGAGCTCATTCACTTCAAAGCCGTGCTCGACCATGTCGGCAACTTGCTCGGGCCGCGTATGCTTGGAGAGGTCTGCGTGTAGCAGGAGCGCTTTCGTCGTTACCTTCTTGGCGAGGCTCTTGACCGCATGGCGCCGAGGCCGCCCACAACACAGACAGGGGCCGTCATGTGTGGCAGGGTTCATCTTCGTACAGAGATGACATACCCATCCTCGCGTCGTCATTGCCCGAGTGCAAAACTTGCGACTGAACGATACGATCAAGATGGCGACCTTGTGCCAAGAACACGCAACACAAAATTGAAGTGCGTGGTCATGACGATCTATCAATAGCGGCACTCCATACGTGAGCGTTGATGACGGTGAACGGCCCCAACGCCCTCACACCGTCGCTGCTGACGTGTCTATCATAACTGCATTGCAACAACCATGGCCATCAAGCGCAGCATTGAGACGGCAATGCTTGACGTGCCAAGCACATCACTTTTCTCTCCAGGGAACAATGCGACAACGATGCTCAATACGGACGACGCCCATGAGGCGAAGCGTCTCCGGCCCAAAAACGTACATGGCTACAGCCTCGGTGACATCAAGAACATGGCCCACATCTCTAAATGGATTCAATACTACTTTGAATGAGCTCAAATAAGCTGGGTGCCCGACGTTCGAAACTCGAGGTCTTCGAGGAGTCGTCGTCGCTCCGTGAGGTATTCGAGCGCTTTCTTGGACGTCTGACGGACTTGGAGGCCCTCGGCCGTGTACAGGCACGCCTTACCTTGGAGGAAACGCACGAGTACACTGGTATCCATTTCTGCGTGACTACATATATTGTAAGAGCACCGCGAGACCCAGAGCACGTACCTTGTCGCTTTGATGGTCTCAATCGCGCCGAGCAAGCCTTCCATGTTCGTAATGCGTTTCCACATGAGTCGCTGGCGGTCCGAGTAGAGCTGATAGCAGGCTTCGCACGCTTGGCCACGGCTTGGGCGCCGGTTCAGCATCGGTTCTCGGGCGCACGCGCGCGAGTATACTTGATACCTAGCATCTCATTCATCTTTGGTTCGATCTCAACATCGTAGATACCATTGTGTTTCTTCGTTGTAGTAGATGCCAAATGTTGGCGCGGGAATGATAAAGCGCTGGAACGCCTTCAAGTGCGCCTGAACGGTCTGACACTTCTCGAACGGAATCGCGCCGGGACAGGACCCAACCATTTCGCGCCCCATGCACCCCGCGATTGGCTTTTCCTTCTTCTTCTTGCGCGAGGACGGCTCGGACTGTGGCGGTAGCGGCCGCTTGATGGGCACGATGGGGTGCATGCGCGTCGTTGCGTCGGCGCTTGGCTGCTGGACATGCGGTGGTGGCGGCATCGCTTGATGGGGCTGCAGCTGATGCATCTGCTGCGGCATTTGCGGAGCGTAGCCCTGAGGTATGTAATTGGCGGCCTGCATGTTGAGCACGGGCTGCGGTTGCAATTGTGCTTGATGGTGTCCATTGTTGCTGTACGCCGAATGCTGAGCTTGTGACTGCGGTCGTGGTGCAGCGTTCGGCGCGATGTTTCGCGGCTTTGGGGCGACGCCTTGCGGCACGATATCGGGGTACGACGCCATAAGGTCGGCATACGGAGTGGGCTCCGTCGCGCTTACCGACTGCTTGTGTGCCGAGTTGCGGGCCTTGTGACGCTCCCACGCGGCGACGCGAAATGGAGCATTCATACGAACGATGCGGGATCCATTGCGCGCCTTATCGAGCTCTGAGCAGATGCGGCACACGATGTACATGCCGTCGGCGTCCAGCTGCTCGATGTCGGAGTCGCTGTGCACGGCGAGCGGCCACGCTCGGGGCACTGGCTCAACTGGCGGTGCCACTTGGCGCTGTCCGTAGTTGGCATTTGGGTTCGGGAACATGCCATTGGCCTGCGGCAAGCTGCTGGCCGTGAGGAGCGTCCGCATCGCAGCGTTGCCGCCCCCGTCGTGTTGCATGACGATGACGCACTGGCTACGAAGGCAAACTTGAATCGCTTCGATTGGTCCAAAATCGAAGTTCGAAGCTCTTGCGTGAAATTTGCCGTACGATGAGCTGATGGAACATGCAATCCAAGTGCAGATCCAAGTGGAGGTTCAAAGGGCCAAGCGATTTCGACACTAGTAGCCTGCTCGGACTCGGAATATAGTAAATCAATTTGCATCAAACAAGAATGAATCGAATCACTAGAGCATTGAGTCTTGCGGCGATGGGTAGATGGCGGACAAGCCATTGAAGGCGCAGTGCCGCGGCCCCGAGTGAAACGACACAATGTCAGCGTCGGGGCAAAAGTTTTGGCTGTGCTTCATGAGTCCTTGGTTCATTTTCTAAACGCAACATTAGAGTACGAACATTTGGATAGCGCTGACTTTGAGAAAGCAGCGGTACTCGACAACACTTGACAAGTCGACGTGGCCCACGAGACGCTTTGGAATACCCCGCAAGATGCATTCGCCGGTCCACTCGTTCGAAACGCTAGGATCCAGCGCTTGCATGGCCTGCGATGACTCCATGAATGCGACAAGCTATTTGGCTACGTACCCTCTTGATGCGCTCAATCTCCACCCGCCCCGTGTTGTGCGTGTCGGCTTCGTGGAGTTTTCTATCACGGAATACGTGCTGCAAAGCTACAACGCGTGTACTTACCGTTCAAGGAGCGCGAGGTAGTCTTGGATTTCCTTAAAGTGCTGCGTCCGTAGCGTCTTGAGAAAGTACCCACGCTTGGGCTTGGGCTTGGTCGGCAAGAGGTCGTCGAGTAGCACCATCGCTTCGTCAGGCGCAATGTGCACCTTGTCCTTCGGGCGCAATCGCTCAAAGATGAGTGCTTTCTCGATTGACTTGAGCTGCAGCGGTGTCTTGAGAGGGAAAAAGTTGTGCAAAGTCAAGAGCGCATCCTTCTACATACCCCACGTGAGACAACGTGCGATTGATCGGCCTTACGAGGAAGAGTCGCTTCGGCTCGGTCTTCCACGTGGCGTCCAAGTAGGACTCGTTGAGTCGCATCTACAATGAGCGACACGATACGCATGAACGCAACAAAGCCGGTACGAACGAGCACAAGTCGACACGCACTAAGCATGGCCTCTTGATCCTCGTAGATAGCTTCCGAGACCGCGCCAGTGAGAGTGAGAAGAAAGAGATCAACCTCGCTGTCCCACGAGTAGAGCTTTAGACCTATTGATGCAGAGTAAATCCTGTATTTATTCGATTTCGATCAAACCAACGTACTGTGAAGAATATTGTAACCCCACTCGGCGACAATGGTTTGGATTCCAAATTTGGTCTTTAGCACCTCGTAGAGGTAATCGTCCTATCAAAAGCCTCGTGAAACCAAGTATGTATGTACGATTCAAGACATACGAGAGCAATGTGATTGCCCATATGCGCTTCCTTGACACGCTTTCCAGTCCAGACGGTTCGAATGATGCGCTACTCGAAGCATCTCGTTCTTCAAGAGTGACTGGAATGCGGAGCGGACCTCGAGCTCCGTTTTGGTCATATGCCGATTGCGAACCTTGCCCGTGTGCCGTAGGAACTGGGGCACCTCTGGGGTACTTCCGAGGGCCAGAATGTACTCTTTAGCTGGCGGGTCGATTGTTGGGTCAGACAAACTCGCGCGCCGAACTGCCGATACACTGTGAACAGCAGCAACAAAGTTGGCTTTTGCGTGGCTCATGAGGTTTTTCTTCGAAACTGGTGACCCGGGGCTCGTTGACCGCTGCTTCTTCTCCTTCCGCATTAGAAACTCCATGTGATTCTGGAGCGAATTGAGCTCCAGGCGCGCGTCTTCTGTTTGGTTTGTCAACTATTCACAAGCGCATTATTCGGAGGAGTGAAATCACAGTGTTGCACGCACGCGCGCGAGCTCCAAGCTCATGCCGCAGTCGCCTTGGATACGTTGCAGCCAATGGCACATTTCGTTCACAAAGCGTTGGCTACGACCGACAAGACCGTTCTTGTTGGAGAGAATGAGTGTCTACGCCTATGTGATACGAGCACTGCGGCACCAAACGCAACCTTGGTGCTCCACGCCGTGTGGTTCTTTGGGTCAACGTAGGCGACTTCGGGAAGAAAGTGAAACACGCTGTCCCAGCTTGGCCGCGGCGAGTGGCTTCGCTGGAGGTCGAGTGTGCCTTCGACGAGCTCCGCTTTCTCGATCTCTGCGAGGCGCAGACTTTCCTATGCCACCTATGTCCCTTGGATAAATACTCGTATGTACGAACTTGGATGTTGCCGATTGTTGCATGGTCCGCAACGAGCTGGGCCTTGAGTTCCGTCATCTTGTACTCAATCGAATGGCTCGTTTCGAGCAAGCGGGCATATTCTACCCCAGCATCCAGTGCTGAATCGGCCACTGAACGGCGAAAATACCTGTCTTGAGACTATGCACGGACGCAAGCATCGCTTGGTCGAGTTTGTCCTTGAGCTTTTGCTCGTGCAACGACTTTAGCGTCGATTGGCACTCATCTTGCACGACCGAGGACTTGGCTGAAATCTCCACCGAAATGGACTTGGCCTCGTCGTAGGTAGTGCGCGCGGCCGCAATCCTCGCGTCAATTGCCGCTTCGTCGGTCAGCAGCTGCTCGTAAATGTTGTCTTCGGCCGCCACGAGTCGCTTCTCATTAGCCAATTGATCCTGCAGACACCAGTATAAAGGCTTAGCACATGTGTGCACGGGATCACCAACCTGGAGCTCAGCCTGGCGCGTCTTGGCGCGGCCAATCTCGGCTTGGAGGTCGCGAGCACGCTGCCGCTTGTGGATATACTGTGCCTTCTACACATCTGAGCAAAGTCGTCAGATTGACAGATCACCAACCGCTTGCTTGAGCTCGATAGTGACGTTGGCGAGCTCCGTCTCGAGCGGCTCGTTGTTCACTTGACGTAGCAAGTGGCAAAACTCAAAGCCCCGCGTCGGCGTCTCGGTCGTGTAAATCGCAGTGCACAATATATCGCGAATCTATGTGCGGCTCGATACAATTACACGCCGGAGATCGTACGTGTTGCAAGACGGCGCGCACGGGTGAGTCGGCCTGTGCAAGCTGCTGCAGGACGCCAAAGTACCAGTATAGCTTGTCGACCGGGCTACGGCGACAAATTGCGCACTCGTAATCTGCGTTCGAGGTACCGGAGACACGTGTGCGCCGTGTCGGTGTCAAAAGCAGCGATTACGTGGCCGAGCATCTCGTGGTGGGCAGCGTCGACGGGCGAAAACACGCTGGGTTTCGTGCGAAACATGACGAGGCTGGGTTTCTCCCGCTCCCGCGCGCTGAGACTGACGGGGTCTTGCCACCGCTTGGACGAGCGCTCAAACAGCTGGGACGGCTGTGTCGGTGGTGGCAATGCCAGCCGTGGCAAGCTCTCATCGTCCGCCGACCGCGTCATCGATGAGGAGAAGCCCGTTTACGCTAAAAATAGTGCCAGAGCCAGAGGCTATGACGTGGCACCTCCACATACTCCCACGGTCGCACGCAAGATTCATGACACTAGAAGCGTCATTGATGCCTCGCCCGTATCGTAGCTAATGCTTGCAACAGGAGCACTGTACGGGGGATATTTCATGGACCCGTTATCCCTCCGAGTCCTCTATGGCCTCCCTGCGACGCCGCGATGCCACACACGGTGCCGCGCTTGACCACAGACGCGGTGGTATGATCATCCGTGAGCGACGACGAACGCTCGCTTCTCGTCGGCTCGTTACCAATGCGCCTGACGATCGCCGTGGCGCCGATGAAACGGTGGTTTTTCCGGATACGACCATCTGGCACCGCCGTCGCGCAACACGGCGCAGTTTCCCGTAGGCCATGAACCGCGCCCTCGCTTGCTTCCGTTGTTGCCGACAGAGTCCGCCGCCGCCGGACGAAGAGCTCTACACAATTCTGCGCAGTGACATTGCAGCCGACTACGAGCTCCTCGACATGATCGGCCAGGGTAAAACGTGCGTTGTGGTGCGCGCCAGAGCAAAAGCGATGGGTACCGTCGTTGCAGTCAAACGGATTGCCACGGAGTATTTGAGCACGCCGAGCCGCGTCGATGCGCTCTCGACCGAGCTGCAAGTGCTCTCGTCCGTGCGCGGGCACCCGCACATGCTGTCGCTGGTCGCCGTGTACCAAGACGACGCGTTCGTCTCGATCGTCACCGAGTACATCAAGGCGGGTCACGTCTTTGACGTCTTCCAAGAGCAGTCGAGCGTCACGGAGCACACGATCCGGTGCATTGTGCGCGAGGTTGTCGACGTGCTCGTCGAGCTACACAAGAAGGGCATCACCCACCGCGACATCAAGCCCGAGAACATCCTCCTCGACGCCGCGGGCCACGTGCGCGTCATCGACTTTGGCATTGCGCACACCGGTCGTGGAAAGAGCATGACGGGGCTCAACGGCACAGGACCTTTCCTCGCGCCCGAGGTGTTTTCGTCCACGTACACGAGCAAGGTCGACGTTTGGGCGCTCGGCGTCACCACGTTTGTACTCCTCACGGGCCACTTTCCGTTCGAAGCGCCGTTTATGTCGCAGATGGAAGACATGATCCGACTCGGGCAGTACAGCCTTCCGTCCGGCGCCCAGCTCTCCATGCACGCGCAGTCGTTCGTTGCGACCTGCCTTCTCACAGACGCCTCCAAGCGACCCTCGGCCAAAGCCCTCTTGTCGCACCCATGGCTCAACCTCAATACGACGCTCGTCGAGTACTCGACGCCGTTGCCGCAGCTGCCGTGCCTCCACGCGTACAGCACCAAAGGCCGGTGTCGACACCAGCTCACGCGGTGACGATGCCTCGACACAATAGACATAGTTATCTTATTCACCTACCCGCGTCTCTATTTCTACACTTCGAGCAGCTCTGTGAGCACGTGCAAAAGCGTGCCGGCGACGGCAATCAAAATCGGCGTGTCGACCGTGTGCGGCGACTTGGCTTCCGCGTACGTCACGACTGGCGGCAAGAGCGCCATCGTAGCAAACACCTGCGCGGGCGACGCAAAACTGGTATACCTGCTCAAAAAGCACAAAATTAGACCTCCGTCGTGCATCGTCGCGCGTACATGATGGCAGGCAGCGAGAGCGTACTGAGAAAGACCACAGCGCTGCCTTCAAAGCTGCGCGTGTAGCGCCGTTGTGAGAGGCAGCTCGAGGTCAAGTACTTGTGTCGCCCAAACGCAATGCCCACGGGCTCAGCGAGGCCGTCGCCAATGCACACGATAAGTACGATGAGGAGGAGGAAGCTGACGTTCTCGAAGACGGCGGAGAAGAGCGTCACAAGCCCAAACCCCGGCACCAAGTTGCCCGCGATAAGCCACTTTAACGTGTGCGGACGGTCCTCGGGCCGGTCGAGCGCGTTGAACTGCAGCATGCAGAGCCGCGACCTCTCGCGCAGCGGCTTGATCAGAAGGAGGAAACAAGCGAGCGTGCAGTAGTACGCCCACGCCATCTCGAGCGTCGGCGCTGCCGTGGCGCGCACGATAGGGCGAAGGAGCGGAATCAAGTATGCTGCAAAATGCTGCAGCTTGCGCGTGTAGTTGACCTAAGCATGCTCACATACACACTCCAAATGGCCAATGCGTGTCACCTTGAAAACCGAGTTGCGCGTTGTCATGACGTAGCCATAGTCGTCCACGATGCAGAAGAAGCGACAGACGACCCCGCCAAGAGTCGAGACGACGAGCATGCACATGATCTTGACGAGCTGCGAAAGCCAAAAGCCCGAGTCGGTAAAGAGACGCGGCTGCACGACGGACGTCGTGATCGAGAGGATGACAGCGCCGACGGCCATGCCAGCGACGAAGGCGAGGTCAAACGTAGTCGCCCAGGGTGCAGAATAGTCGCCCGCCACCTCGCCGGCGTAGATGATGTCGTCCGCGTCGGACTCGGTCTCGCTGAAGTCACTCAGAGACCCGTAGTTGGCGTGCTTGTCGAGGTGGAAGGACGCGTTTGGCGGCTTGTACACGACCCGCAGTAACACAAGAAGAAGCACCAGAGCCGCGAATGGCGGTGCAAGGAGACCCGCGGCCTGCGCGGCTGTCACGGCATGCGGCCAGCCCTCCTGCGTCATCGCTGCCACCGGTTCTGGCCAACCGGCACCCCAAGATCGCACACCTTCTACATGTCCCACCCAATATAGTGTAAAAGTCCGTCGTCCGCGGCCTTTCTGGCGCGCAGGCAAGGCACGACGGAAGCGGACGACCGACGTAAGCTCACAACCTAGCATGGCAAGAGTCCAGCAGCTAGCAGCAGCCAGGTCTTTCCTTGGTCCTTGCTGCATGTGTACCACAACGTTCGCAGGTGATAAATCACGGGAACGTGAAACTTTTCACACAGGGCTTTATGTGATAATCTGTTTTACACGCGCAGCGGAAATCGAGCGTTCTTCAAGCAATTTTCTGTTTCTTTTTTCCCGCGCTTGCAGTAGTATCCACGCACTAGTACGCGAGTAGCTCGGTCGCCGCCGACGCGCCGGAGAACCGATCTGGCCCCGCTCTGTCTGTCCATCGGCAGCCTCCTGCGTCACAATTCAGATTATGTATTCAAAAGGTACGTTAAACTACAAAAATAACACCACGCGAGTCCATTTTCACGCAACCGGAGGGGCCAGCAAAGCCGGATAAAGATTTGACGGGGCATCAACGGGGGCTCGTCGCGTTGCCGTCGTGGTCGTGGCCATGGGCGCGGCAGAACCCACCCTTGATCGAGCCCTTGTTACACGTCGGGACCTGGCAGTACGAGAAGCCGCCGTGCTTGCGGCAAAGACCCCCGCGCTGCGTGAGGTTCTGGCAGCCGGGCGATCGGCAGTACGTGACACCGCCGTGGTCACGGCAGAGACCCTTGGCATTGCTGACTTTGCTGCAGCCTTCGATCTTGCAGTAGGCGACACCACCATGGGACTTGCAAAGACCTCGCTTCTGGCGTGTTTTGTTGCAGCCCGGCACGCTGCAGTACGAGACGCCGCCGTGTGCAAAGCAGAGGCCGCTCTTCAACCGCTGCTTGGTGCAGCCTTGGACGATGCAGTAGTAGCGGCCACCATGAGCCGTGCACACACCTTCCTTGGTGACGAGCTTGTCGCAGCCGTCCATCTTGCACACGTAGCGGCCGCCGTGGCCCGAGCAGAGTCCGTAGCGGATGCTGATCTGGCCGCAGCCCTGGACCTTGCAGGGCTGGCGCTTCCGGACGCGGGGCGAGGTCTCAAGGCTGAGCTGGTGGTGCATCTCGAGGAGGATTGACGCGGCCGAGGGCTCGCCGGGGAAGACCGGGTTGAGCAGCAGCGGAATGTACGCATACTTGCGCGGTTCGACGTCGCACATGGCAAATCCAAAAGTGACCGCCAATCTCGGCTGCCCAGTGCAATAAAACGAGCCAATCGCCTTCGCGATCCCAAGGGCGCGGCCAATCACGCGCCAGGTTGCGGTTCCAAATGCAACTTGCTTGCCGTTGGGACCAAGAAGGCGAGGGTACGCACGATGCTACTACTACTATGAATAAGAACACGCGCGGGTCGCTTGGGCTGGTCTGCACCTGGAAGCGTCGCGTCACCGCCTGTTTTTTGCAGCACCGCAACTGCCGCCAACGCGGCTATGACCCAAGGCGCCGAGCCGTTCCCGAAGGGTCCAGACTGCCGCATCCGTGCAGCGGCACGTCGCCATCTGCCACCGCAACGACGACGCCGATTCAAAAGAATATAAAACGAGGTCGTGTGAGGCGGCTTATTACATGAGATGGTCCGCGTCCAAGTCGTGCTTGGCAAGCTCCTGGAGCATCGGGTCGTCGAAGAACTTGGAGACGTTCACTTCTTCGCTCAGGCCCTTGCGTCGGCGGGTCTTGACCATGAACTCGCGCGCGAGCGCATCCACGGGCGACGGCTCGAGAGGTCGCAGAATGATGTTGGCGTCCAGCGGGTCGCCTGAACACATGCAAATCGTTCATCGACCAATCCGACGCAAGCAACATCATACCTGGGACGAGCGCCCAGTGGTCAAACGTCTGCGTGCAGAACGCATGACCTTGCGTGAAGACACGGAGGTCCGTCTCGAAGCCAAAAGACTCGATAACGGGCAGGAAGCCGCGCACCGTGTACATCGGCGACCCTGCCTTGGGCGTGTCTTGCGTGATGTGGCCACGGCGGCGCGTCAGCACCTGGTACAACGTTGCGACCGTGTCAGCGGGGCACTGAATCTCGAGTGCGTACATCGGCTCCAAAAGCTACGCGGTGTGTTAGCATGTCCAAACGCCTTTCTACGATGCGTACCCGCGGCGTCGCCGTCAAGAACGAAGAGTACACGACACGGCGAGCCGTCGGAATGAGCTGGCCACCGGCACGGTGAATGGGCTCGTTTGCGAGGGATGCGTGGAGGATCTTGAACTTGCTGCTGCGGATCGGCTCGTCGCAGAGAGGGCCCTCGCGGCAGCCCCACTGGAAGCCTAATTATCGTGAGCCATCATGATGACACAGACTACCGTACCTTGCACAATCGAGTTTTTGACCGAGTTGAGCGCCTTCTTGTCGACCTCGGACGAGAGCGTGTCATCGATCAGTACGTTCGGGCCCTTTGCGTCCGGACCAAACGCCCAGACCGATCGCGCGGCGAGCACGTCCCATTGGTACTGGTTCTGGAAGAACTCGGCAACGTCTTTTTTCGGCCACTACACATCGTGCTCCTTCAGCCTTTAGCATCATAGACACGTCGTACGTCAAGGCTCACAACGCCCGCTTCAATGTCCTTGGCGAGACCGACGTCGAGGGGCTCGGCAATCATCGTGAGCTTGTTCTTTTGGTTGGGCGTCTCGGCAAAGCACCTATCGCAAGACATGAATCCTACGAGTTGAACAAGTGCAAACACATACTGCACTGATGACGTCTCAATGACCGTCTCACAGAAAGACGTGACAGGGTCAGCGACCTTGATCTCGATCTCCGAGTACATCTTGCGCAAGTCGTGCAAGATGCAGTCAGCCGCAAGCTCGCCCGTGCACAGAATCACATGCTCGCCCGACTCTTCGACCTTGGTCGTCACCAACGGGTAGCTCTTGCTGATTTTGCGCAGTCCCTCGAGCATCTTGGGGAGCTCGGACGGGTTCAGCGGCTCGACCGCGAGCTTGACGACGGCGCTCGTGCCGAAACGCTGCGCCAGCGGCGTGAAAATGCCCACGCGCTCGCTTTCCAATACGTCTTCGGATGCGTCAGTGATCGTCGCGCTGTTGATGATGCTGCTGTCGACGCCCTCGAGAAGGACCCAGTTGCCAGCGACAATGCGGTTGACGCGGACGCTATACCGACCTTGGCTGATACCGACGGCCTCGACAGTGCGCACACACATGTCTTCGTCGTCGTCGACACTGTAGCTGTCGCCGAGCACCTTGACGCGCTGGTTGGTCGTCACCGCGCCCGAGTAGACGCGACCGAACGCGCTGAACGTCGTACCATCCGTCGACGAGTAGAGCTTGACGATGTTGAGCATGAGCGGGCCCGTGGGGTCGCATGCCAGCATGGCGGCTGCCACCTTCGAGTCCATATCACCCGTGTAGAGCGACTTGACCTTGATGGCCGCCGTCTCGAGAGGCGACGGCACGTGTCGGGACACCATGTCGACAAACGAGCTTGCGGACCGCCCAAGAAACTGCGAGAGCACGAGTTTGAGGAGCGGACGCGGGTTCAGGTGCAAGTCTTCGCGACGCACGCGAAGCCCCAGGTCCCGCAGCGTCTTGGACAGAGTCGCCGTGTCCTCGCCCAACACCTACGATGACATGAATAAACACCTTGTCGTTTTGTAGTGACGCTGGCAACGCACCTGAGCGTAAATCTTGTAGATCGGCTCCAGAATGAACGACACGAACGAGCGCGGCGCGTTCTCGTACGGCTAACGCAAGCTTAGCGAATGCATCGGTCAAAGTTCAGAAACGCACCACTTTCTTCTTGAAGGTGCGCGTCGCGGGCGCGTAGTACATGTCGCCCCAAAGTCGCTTCGCAAGTTCCGTAGGGTTGACGCCGCGATGGATTTCGCTGTAGAGCTAGAAGCAGATTTGAGCTCTTGACGAAAGCGCTGAAGTGCGTACCCGAGAAAAAGATTCGAGCGAAAAGTGCCAGCCATGCTGTGCCGAAGCAAAGCAGACGTTACCGAGCTCCGGCGATACGCGCTTCGCCGGCTGCCCCAAGGGCGTGTGCGTCTCAATGATCTTGTTGACCTCTTCAATCGTGTGAAGAAGCTTGAAGTACGCGTCGGCCGGCGGCAACTTCAACTCGATGATGAGGCGGTCAACCTACAAGCGATATCGTTCGACTGGATGGTACATAGGTCCTGGTCTCACCTTGTTGACGATGAGCAAGATAGGGAGCTTCGAAAGAAGCGCTGCCTTGACAATGCGCTCCGTCTAGACAACACACATTAGCGAGGAGGCAAATCAGCAGTAGTGACGAACGTTCATCATGACGCCTTCGATAGCATCGACAACCAGCACCGCACCATCTGCGACCTGCATGGCAGCCGTCGTCTCGTCAGAAAAGTTGACGTGGCCCGGGCAGTCGATGATGTTCATGATAAACGACTTGCCGTTGCTGGACGGCAGCACGAGCGACACGGGCGTCGACTTGATACTGACCTTGCGAGCCTGCTCATCCATGCGGGTGTCCGTATACCGGCGCTCGAGCTCGACGGCCATCGCTTTCTTGGTCGCATCGGTCTGCTGGTCCTTCCACTTAACTTCGTGCGTCGCTTCGACAAGCAAATCCAAGAGGACGGTCTTGCCTGCGTGCAAGTCACCGACAACAGCCACGTTGCGCACCATGGATGGGTGGTCCATCAAGCTTGCCAAGAAATCGTTCGAGTACGTCGTCTTTGGTGGCTGCTCGGCGCTCGAGAACTCCTTGACCTTGACCGGAGCAACGAGCGGTGTCTCGATCGCTTGCGCATCTTCTTCCATCACCAGCACCTCGGCATCGCCAAAGACCTCTTCCGCGTCCGGGTAGTACTGCTTGTCTTCATGCAGCACGATCCGATGGTCTTCTTCGCGGTACGTCGACAAGGCCGAGGATGGCTCACGGCCCATGTTGTCATCGTCGTCGGCCTCCTGCCCGTGGGCAGCCTCGTCGTCGGAAGCGTCATCCTCTTGCTCGGACTCTTCGCGCTCTTCCTCGCTCTCCGAGTTGGAGTCATCTAGCTCCGGGCCAATGTAGTTGCCAAATTCATCGTACAACGACTCGCTCATGGCGTCCCGAGTTCAAAATGGAAGCAAAATGTGGTGAGGGACCATTTCCTCTATGAAAGCATTCCTCTGGATATGTATTCTTACAGGTACTCCATTCTAAAATATTATTCCCTTTCAGTGAGTGGCCCATACAAAACGCCAATGCATTTGGAATGGAGGGAAAATAATACAATAGGATACCTCGATGCGATCAGATTTTTGCTGGGTGGACAGGTGATTCAACGCGACCAACAGCGCAAGCAACCACCCATTGCCGCAAGACTGCCCTACTCGAGAAGCGAGACGAGCTTGTTTAACGTAAGCACGCACTGGCTTGGGTACCCGCTCGACTTGGTGCATCGATAGGCGCGCCTCAAAACTCGGCAAAGAAATGCTGGATTTGAAAATCAAAATGAATAGAAATATGTGGCTTTGGATATCAATACACTGTAATACAATGCGGAGAGCATTTGCAGCAAGGAACTGGCCAAACTAATCTTTCTTGAGCATCATCATCATGGAGGCGCGGATAAGCTGCGTGAACCAAACGCTCCTCGCCATCAAGGACGTTCCTGTGCGAAGAAGACATGTAGTATGCGAGGCTCAAGGAAGGCGTCCTAGGCGGAGGAGCCCGATGAAGTTGAGGTCCTCAACCTTCATGGCAACTGCATCCGGACCATGGATGGGCTGCAGCGCTTCCCCAAGTGCGTACTGTGCTCCTCCCATCCAAGTGCAGGTCCTCATATGGCAGCGTAGCCTCCGCGAGCTGTCGCTGTCGTCCAACTGGATCGAAGTACGATGGCGTGTATGGGATGTATTGATGACATGCGTAGGCTCCATCATACTCCGCGCTGCGGGGACTCGAGCACCTTACTGTCCTCGATCTCTCGGCCAACAGGTTGCTGCGATTGAGCTTCTTTAGTCTCATGGAAGCACAGGCTCGTAACGACGATGGGCATTCCAACGCTGCCTGCTCTCAAGGAGCTCTCCCTCGCTTACAACGCGTACACAACACCCATGTTGCGCGATCTCATGGATCCTACCAGGCTCACGGTTCTTGACGGTCTTCTCGACCCTCTCAAGCTGCCTCAACTGGAGATCCTGGATCTTCGTGACAACCAAATCGCTCACATTGACGACCTCCGACCGCTCTTTTACCTCCAGGTATGCCAAGGTCCTCGGAGCTCTCCTCAGCACTCTCTAGAATTTGCGAAGTCTCCGGCTGCAAACGTTTAGCAAGAGCCAATCGAATCCCGTGTGCTCGACGACAGCCTACCCCATCTCTCTGCTTGACGTGGGCCAAAGCGATTTGATTGTGACGGCTGACTCCGGTTCGTAGCAAATGTCGGCTCTCGATGTGCTCGACGACGAAGACGTCGAAGTGCTTCGCGAGATGGCAGCGCTGGCTATGCCCCGCTACAACACGCTTGCACAGGCCGTGCTGCGAAGGGCCGACGCAGCGTCGCCCGCTGCTTCTTCGCGCTCCGAGCCCGACGCGCTTGAAAGTCGCGTTCGGCGCCTCGAAGAGCGCAATCGATCGCCAGTCGCCAACAGCCTCCCAAAGCCACCGGTCTTGACAGAAATTGATGCAGAGATCAACCGCGCCAAGCAGAACCTTCGCGAGCTCCACCACCAAAGTTTGCGGAAGCGGCCTCCACCGATCAGTGTCTTTGTCGAGACCGAGACGCGTCACGGGTATCGTTTCCAGACCAAAGACGCTGACGATGACGTCGCCCCGTCACCGCCTGCTTCTCCAAAAAAGACTTTTCCAAGTTTAGCTCGTTGGGTGCACCAAGGCTCGCAGTGCATGCCAGAAGCGAGTGCTTGTGCCAGCCAAACGGATTTGACCAGCGACAAAATTGAGGCCCTCGAGTGCGATTTGGCGGTCATGACGACCCGAGCGCAAACAGCGGAAGATAGCGTGCTACAACTGACCGCAGCCAACTCCACTTTGACGTTCAACGTCGCAGACGTACAAGCCCAACTTCAAGCAGCTGAAAAGACACGAACTGCTGACGAAGACTATCAAGCACAACGCATGACAGGACTCCAAAAGAGCCATGTGGAAGTTGTCGAAGGACTCCAGGCTGACATTGACCGTGTCACGCAGCAGTTGGCGACAAGCCAAGCAAGCCTGCGCGCGTCTGAAGCACAAGTGGCCTACTGGATGCAAGAGCACAGTGCGCTCAAGGTTTTCACAACTTGAATGCGGGAACCCACTCATTTGGACGAATAGAGCAAAGACCTTGCCTTGGAGTTGGCTGTGGCAGAAGCAAAGGCTACACTGGATGCTGCAACAAAGACCCACGCCTCAGCCCTTCAAGACAAAATGCACGCGGTAGGAACACGCACCTAATGTGCAGACTGAATACGTGTTGTTGTAGCACACGATGGCCGTGCAGCAGTTAAGGCGCGAGCTTGCAGTACTCTTGCATGGGAATGCACTTGTTTTCATCGAATTCGTAGGATACGTCTGCGTCTTTGGAAGACGTGTACGCAAAGTATGCAGCCAAGGAGAAGGAAGTGGGGCATTTTGTGTTGCACGATATACTTGGTGACCATAGATGTAGGTACTGCAATTGCGCAATGCCGTCTTGGCCAAAACGAGCGACCTCGACTCTGGTACCTTTCGGCACCGCGAAGAATGGCAGCGTCGCGAGACTGAGTGGAAGCGCCAGGAGCAAATGCTGCTCCGGCACTCGGCGATAGCGGTGCAAGAAATGGAGCTCGAGTTTCGTCAGAAGCAGCAAGACTCAATTTTAAAGATCAAGCACCTACAACAAGCGCTGCAGGCACCAAACTACCCGACTCCACCGATTTTTGCTTTACAAACACGTATCCTAGAAAGCAATGGCCGATGGCAAGGCATGGGAGCTCAAGTCTTCGGCAGCAACGGGGCGTGTTGCAGACCTTTCAGCAAGCCATTCGACTCTTTCGTCCCAAGTACGGTGTCTCGAATCTCATTGTGATAATGGCGACGTCATAACGCTTTTGACGATTAGCTCCAGTCGATGAACAAGCGCGTAAAGAAGATGCAAGAGTCGTTCGAGCAGCAAATGACCGAGCTTCAAGATACCATCGATCATCTCGAGCACCAAGTCGACGATGAGCGCTCGCAGCGACTCGCCGCCGAAGAGGCAGCAGCCAGCGCACTGTCCAGGTCCGCGTCGACAGGCGATGTCATCGAAGCACTCGAGACACAACTCCGGGACGCCAACGCGCTCGTTCAAGTCAAGAACGTCATGCTGGACGACCAAAGTCGACTTCTTTTGGACGCCCGTCCGGAAAAGGACGCTTTGGTCGTCGCATTGGACGACATGCGGGGTCGCGTCGACGAGATAGAAGCAGCACTTGACGATAGCCTTGCAGCACAGGCCGAGATGGCAGAGTACCAGAGAGAGGTCGAGGCGCGTGCACGACAAGTCGAGTCGGAAGCCGCGCGGCTGCAAGACATGGATCGTATTCACGAGGAGCTCGCGACAAAGGAGGCGGCGCTCGAGTACCTCGAGGGTGAGCTCCATCACCTCCGCAAGACGGTCACCAAGCAAGAGGCTTGGAGCTCCGAAAAGATCGCGCAGCTTGAGACATCCGTACGTGCGTTCTGGACATGAGCGGTTTAAATCTATTTGTTGCACTAGCACACAGCGCGTCAAGCCGAGCTTAATACGCAGGCCGAGGCGCTGAAAAGCGAGGTTGGCAGCCTCGAAGCCAAGCTTAAAGTCGCAGCCCATCAGCTCCAAGCCGCAAAGCATCAACACCACCACATGCAGAAGCGCTTGTACGAGTACCAAACGCGCCTACAGTCGACCGAGCACGAGATGAAGGTCGTCCTTCTCCAGGTCCGTGCGGAAATGATGCCTCCACGATTCAACCGCAGTGTTCGTAGATGGAGAAGGAGCGTGATGCGAAGCGCCAGCACATGGACGAGATCGCGCGTCTCGTGCAAAAGATCCACGACGGAGCACCCTAGAGTTGCACGAACTGTCTATTATACACGTCTACGCCGAGTCCGAGTCGCTCTGCTGGTTGGTCTGCCGCGACGCCTTCTTGGTCTTTCGCGGCTTTCGCACGGGACTCATAATCGTATCGTACGTGTTGGGCACGGCGGCAGCGTTGTCGTCGTCGTCACTGTCCTGCACCTCGTTGCGGCCATCTTCGTCCGCTTGGTTGTCGACGCGCTTCACGACAAGCTTGTGATTGGGCCGGATTTCGCCGCGGTAACCCTTGGGAAAATAGGCGCGGTTGAACTCGCGCAGCTCGTCGATCGTCATGCCGTAGTGCGCAGCCACCGACTCGGGCGTCTCGCCGACCTGCACGATGTGGATTTGCTTGGTGAGCTTCACCTCGCCAATGTGCCGCATGCGGTCTTCCGCAGCCGAGTTGTGACCGACAACGAGTGCTTGACCAGGCACGAGGCGCGGTTTCATGCCGTTCGGGAACGCGCCCTTGTTCTTGAGCAGGAGGCGGGCCTTGGTTGTCTTGTGCTGGGCGCAGATCGCGTCGAATGTATCGTTGTGCGTTACAACGTGCATGATGGCGTGGGCGTCGACGTGGTTCGGGTCCGGAATCGTATTGATGACGCGGATGTGCAGCATTTGGCCAGGAAACATGATGCCCCGCTCGCCTTTCGGAAAGTACTGGCGGTTGTCGTTGCGGATCGCCTCCTCGGTCGTGTTGAACTCGAGCGCGATGCTCTTGACCGTGTCGCCGGACCGCACGACGTGCATCTGCCCCCAGCCTTGGTCGATGAACTCGGGCGGCGGCGGCAGCGACACGGCGAGCGGCTCGTCTACGATGAGCTCTTGGCCCGGGTACACGTTGTTGCTCTTGCCGCTAAAGACGATCGGGTTGAGCTCGCGGATCTTCTTCTCGGCCATGTTGGTCTTGGCCGCGATGCTGCTGAGCGTGTCGCCCTTCATCACCGAGTAGCGGAACGGCGCAGCGCTCTCGGCCGCTTGCTTCTTGTTGCCCCACGTCCCGTACATGCCGCCGAATCGAAAGTGGCACGCCCTCGCGGCCCGGCGTATCCGGATACCACGCCGCCCATCACTTCAACCGGGGTGTTTGCAACACGTGTTTCTTTTCTTTTTTTAAATCATACGCTCTTCATATTTTACATACAATATACTCGACAAGAGGAATAATAATAAGCACGGCTGTCGACTGCGAGCGTCGTTTTCGTATCCGGTAAAAAACAGTCTGCCTGGTGTTTGGTAAAAAACCGCGCCAACACAGCGCGACTGGTGACGACCAAGTAGTGATACATTAAGCGTCGCCACTGCGCACAGAGTACATCAGCTCACCGCAGACACGAAGCACGGTCCGGCCTTTTGGGTTCGGGGACGCCGAGCTGGGCCGACTACAGTCGAGCTTGGGTTTCCGGCGGACGCGTGAAGGGCGCGATGATGTTCCGTCGTACGACGTGACTACAGGTAGTGGCTGAGAGGACGCCGTATCTTGGTTGGGTTGCTCTGGGGGCGGAAGGCTGGAGTGGCGGTTAAGGTAAATCGACAGCGCCTTTTGTTGTGCAACGAGTCGCGTGGCTGGGGTCGGCGTGACGCCAGCAGGACTCGATTCCACGGGTAGAGGCTGTCGAATATGAATCGTCGCTGACCTCGGTCGCTGGTACGTGGCGGCCGGCAACGAAAGGAGCGGTGTCGCTATGCTAAGCTCGCAAGCCGTAGGAGTCGAGGTGGGTTGTGGCGCCACGGCTTGACTGCCAAAACTATTAGCAATCGGAGCCGCCAAAGGCAAGGCAGGGGTCGGCTTCGTGGACATAACTCGGTGTCGACTTGCCGACGAAATGCGCTGCGAAGCGGGCCAAAATCGTTGCGCTGCCTCGGGCTCGGTCTCTTGTACGCGTCGCGTTGGCCCGCAGGAGCTTGGCCTTTTCACTTTCTTTTTTCGCATCACCACTGGCGGCGGCTCGACGACCAGGTCGCAACGTGGCGGACATGACATCATTGCTTCTCTGCGAGCGAAAGGCTGATACTTTACTGGTCGTAGCTTGAGTTGCGCTGCCTAGATCATCGCGTGGCCGTGATAACACAAATACATCCATGAAATGAACCTCGTGGAGCATGTTGTTGGAGCGCGGTGTAATCGTAATTGGGGTCACCTAACCTGAGTTAGCCAGGCTGCCTAGAGCACACGGTCGGAACTACACCTGAATCAATGGCTCGTCGTCTGTCTCGGGTAACACGTTCTCGGTCCGATAGTACGATCGCAGAAGGTGGCTGCTCTCGACCCCGAACCGGCGGTCAAACGTCTCCGTCTCGAGCTCCGACGCGGTTTCTGTCGTCGGCGGCATGTTGGGCAAGACGCCGATGTGCTCTCCATAGTACTTCAAGTCGTCTGGCGTCAATCGAAACTTGCGCATGAGCGCCAGGATCGAGTCGGATGATGTCATGCCCTTTGAGCTGTGAAACCGTCGAGTGCACTTTCGGCGCGCCAAGAGTGAACGGTCGATCGTGAAGACGAACTAGAATTGTCGACGATAAATGCAAACTGATCGCGTCGACAATGAGCTATTCTTCACATCATTTACTGTACACTGGGTCCTCCTACCACTCGTTGCGGTCCCACCTTGTAAACTCAAACGTGCTGCCGTCGTGTACGTCAGGGCCGCGCTTTTCTTCGAGTGCGCGAAAGATGACCTTGTCGCCTGCCTCTTGGCTAATGAGTTCAAAGTCCCGAAAGCTCTGCTTCCGCGTGACAACGGGCGTTGGAGGTGCGGGCGCAGGAAACTCGTCGTCTGTGAGCAAGATCCCGCACTGATTTGAACGTCCCGCCCGACTGGACGAGCGCGAGACACTCGCTCGCGACGGCGGCCGCGACGAGTTCATAATTGCAGGCTTGGCCATTTGCACCACTTGAAATGGCGGGGCGTCCGTCGGTGTTTTTTTCACCGATGTCACAAACACCTTGTTCATGCGCATGGTCTTGAAACGCAGCTTGAGACGCTCCTCATCGGTGGCTTTCACGCGGGCGTCGTTGTTGCTGTCTTCACGCCGCAGCTCGTCGGTGGACGGCGCCTGCTTCAAGCACTGGATCGTCTTGAGCATCGTACCCACGGTCACGTCCATGCTTATGCGCGGTCGAAGTTGCTTTGCGTCTCGTGGTAGAAGCGTTCTCTCGGCCACTGGCTTGGGCTTTGGCGTTGGCTTTTCGAGGCTGAGCTTGGAACGCACGCCACTGAGCGACAAATCGTGCATGTTGCCTTCGATGCGGATGGGGCTCGCAACTGTGCGAGGACGAAGCACCTCAGGCTGCGGCCCTGTCATGCAAGCCCACGTCCCTTGGTCAAGACAAGAATAGATGCGCAGACATTTTTGCCCGTCACCAGGAGGATCGATGTTTCAATGTATCGAGCTCAATATGTTTTTATGTGAAGGAACGCTCGTATTTACAACGGATATGACACGAGGGAAAGAAGACAATACTATCGCTATGGACTAAACTACACGTTTTCGTGCTGAGAAGGGTGCCTTGGGCACGAGCATGTCCTTCTTGGGATTCGATCGTACCGGAGTGCGCGACTCGGTTCCCCACATTGCCAGTTGAATCACGGGCGGATTGTTCTGACGCGGGTGGCTTGCAGGCGATGGGCATTGACTCTCCTTCAAGTGGAAGAGGTGGTCAAACTTGCCGTGCCTTGACTTGCGCGGCGTCAATAATGACTGCATGCGTCGTATGTCCTTCTCTCTCATGTACGCTTCAATAGACTCGATCTTTTCGGCGAGGCGCTGGTTGGGCGTGCGCTGGTTGGGCTGCCCCACAGTTGGCAGCAGCATGCGTTGTTGCCGAATGCGTACGCCTTCCAACGACGGCGCAATATCTCCGCTGGGGCTCGTCGTCGCTGCCAGCGGTCGTTGCGCAATGCCTTGAGAGGCTTGTCGCGCCGACCGCAATGTGCCACACGCGCCAGTCGACGCCGGCCGAGGCTTTCTGGGGGCTTCTTGCACCACTTGCGGGCACGACTCGACACGTGTATCTGTGAACTCAACTACGAGATTCGCGGACGTGAGCTTACTCAAGACTATCTAACTGTACGGACATGTGCTCGGAAGAACCTCTCTTGAGCTCTAGATGATACATTGTCGCGTCGTTCCATGGTTGCATTCCTGTGAAGCCATACCTTGCGGAGTTTGTTCCGTAGCGCAGCTTCGAAATATGACTGTCTTGGCTAAAGCAGCACCTCCATTGCTCTCGATGTTCGCTGGGGGTCTCGTACTGTAGCAGCGGCAAGGCTTGGTCCCCGTTGAGGGGGCGTTGATGCAACATTTTGTTGGTGGCGCACATTGGGCTGTCGAAAGCTGGTCGTCAACTACGCAGCCAGTTCCCATCATTGTCGCAGCGAGCAATGCGACTGACTCACTTGCAACTCCTTGTGCACCGCCACTGTGCTTGGAAGGTAGCTTTTCAGTAGGAGACTCGAGTCAATGCCAAAGAGGCGATCGCTTGTCTCGTCATCTAGATCAGACTCGTCCTGGTCGGTGGGGTCCAAGGATGGCCGGCCTCCTCGCGGTGGTGTCATTTCGCGCATCGTCGGCCGAGCTAAATGCGGCGATGGGCACGGTTTCTGCGAGCGACTTTGACTCACGGAAACGCTTGGAGTAGAAAGTCCCGCACAAATAATCTTGTAGGGACCATTGCGAGATCGGCTCCAGCGCAACGACATAAATTGCAGCACTCACAGAACCGCCGCTCGTACAGGGTCGCATTTGCACGCCACAATTCAAGTCGACAATCAAATATCGGCGACCAAACCGACCCACCAAACAGCGCCGTGTCGAGTCTTTGACGAGCGATTGCACAAGCTGACGCATAAGCACGATGGTATTTCAAGAATTTGATCCGAGTCGACCTTGCTACGCCATCGCAGTGTCGTGCATGTCCTTGGTTAGGCCCACGAGGCAGCTTCGAGCGTAGGGCCACGTAGCAGCCATGAGCGCGTTCACATCGTACGACTGCATCGTTGCGGGATCAGACCGGCTCACATTGTAGAAGACGTTGTCGGGGATGCTGCGGAAGATGTACCTACGCGGAAGTATCGCATCGACCTGCGAGACGTCCGAACGTACGCCAGCTCGAACGGTCGATGGCCCAGGAGCACGACGCGCTCGCCCTCTGATAGAATGTGCGTATCTCCAAGCTCTATGCGTTGCGAGAACATGAGGTACGGCGCTCCAGGCTCGAGAATCGGGCATCGCACGCAAGAGGACGCGGTCGACGTAGGTCCCTTGTTTGCTCGTGCCGGTGAGTCGCGTGAGCAACCCACCCCCGACTGCGATCGTCTCGAGGTGGCAGTGGCAGCGCCCTAGGAGCTTGAGATGCGCTCGCTCCCGCGCCGTCGCCCCGCGGAACGGGTGCTTGAACATGCCCTTTCGGAGCGCAACGCCTTCGCCGTGGGGCCTGCGACCCATCGTCCTCGTGCTTCATGAGAGGAGATAGGGAGGTACATGAGGGGGATGATGGTCAACCCGGCTTCCCGGAGGCGGTCACGCGCATGGTCTGGGACGGCCGTGAGGTCCAAGAGCAGGAAGTTTGGCATCGCTTTGGCTCGGAAACTTTCAAAATGAACCCAGGAGCGAAGCGCACGACTGTCTATTGGCCAAAAAGATTTTGGAAACGCGCTGGGATTGGTGCATTTTCGAAAGATCCGCGGCCACGTCGCATGGAGCGCTTTGCACGATTCAACGCGACATGATGTGTGCAATTCAATACATTTGAGACGCATGGAGCGATTCCCGCCGGCAAATCTCCGAGTGTGTTCGCATCAACAGGGTCGACCGGATACTGTTGTCGTATCCGTTGAATTTACCACGTGTGGGAGCTCGGGGAGCAGACAAAACAGGTTATGATGCGTGGCAAGTTGCTTCGTAAGGACTTTACCTTCGCTCCCGCCATCTTGTACACAAGGCTTTGCAGATTGAGCGAACGAACATTCCTTGCAGTAGACGTCTCTGGAGCAGAAATTATTCATATACAGCCTCACACTAAGCAGTTGCGAATAAGGTGGCGCGCGCTTCCTCTCGAAGGGCTACACTCGGCGGGGTGCCATGCCCTCTGATCCTTCCGCACCACCCTCATCAACTAGCGCCTCAGTCGTGGTTGATGCTCGGTGATATTCAACGTCAAACCAAAGCCATAAACTATAGTTGGTCAAACTCAACTCAACGACGTCGAGGCGTGCGAACGAAACGTCGATTGGAGCAGCTTCACACGTCGTTTCGCCGGAAGGGGCGCGAGATGACGGAGCCAAAGGCGGCGGCGCCGCTCCCGAAGGAGCTCCGAATGGCGTGGAAGCGTGCTACGAAGCTTCTAAAACTCAAAGACACGGGGAAGAAGATTGAGGGCCTCGCGTACTGCGGCACGGACGGTCGCTTCTTCCGCGAAGGCGGCTGCGTTGCCGTCCTCATGGCCTTCCTGACGCGCACCAAGGCAACAAAAATGGCACCTTCTTCGACCAACTCTTGAACGGCATTTGTAGCAACACGAGGTCTTGCACCAAACGCTGCTAATGTTTGTCAAGCTGCTTGCGTCCGGCGACCCGGCGCTGTCCTGCGCCGAGAACGGTACGATCCAATTCGCTTTTGGACTCGGACTAAGCACTGGCCAGTGCTCTACGTGCTCGAGGAAGGCCGGAAGCCCGCATCGCCGTGGAATAGCGGCGAGTACTTTCTCAACACACTGAGCATGCCTCTCAGCGACGACTCCAAGGTCACCACCAAGGCTGCACGTTTATTATTGACCGCTTGTAGATGGCCGCCATCAAGATCTACACGAGCATGGTCGAGTGCTGTGCGGCGGCGGTGGCCTCCGATCTTCTTCCGTCGCTCTTAACCCTGGGGCGTCCCATCGAGCAGCTGGCTTCAGCTCTGCACAGCCCGTCCCCGGAGCTGCAGTATTTGGCTCTGAACGGTCTCTTCGTCTTTCTCAAGCACACCACCGCGAGCGACGAGGCCATCGCGACGCTCTTTTCGATTGACGACGGACCCAAAGGCATTCTGAGCTTCTTACACCACACTGAGACCCGCTTTGCCTTGCTTGCACTGCAGTTGCTCGAGTGGCTCACTCAAAGCGGTCAGACAATTGCTCATGTCTCGACTCATGTCACGACTTGTAGACGTTGGACGCGACCGACTCAACGCCGACGGACTTGTGACGCACCTCACGGAGAAGCTCCAGAGCTGGACGTCCGCCCTCCTTGGGACGGTCGAAGCCGAGATTGTCGACGCCACGTGCCAGTGTCTGAGTCTCGTCGTGCTTGTGCTCGCTCGCGTGCACATTGTGTCCAACTTTGCGATCGCTGAAAACGCGACGATGGTCACCGACGCCGTCCAAGCGATGGCTGCCGTTCTCTCAACATCGACGCTCCAGGCGTCCGCCAACATGGCCACGGCCTTGAGCGTCCTCGCGTCCATTGGTCGACTCGTCGAGCGACATGGCCCGAGCCTCGCAGCCGCGACGCAGACTGGCCTCTTGACGACGCTTCTCTACTTCCTCGTCGTCGACGAGCGCAATCCGCGCGAAGCTTCGGGCTCGTCCGAGGGAACCGACGCTCATGACGTCGACCCAAAAACCAAAGCCAAACCGAAACCGGGTGGAAAGGAAAAGCCTACAAAGGATGCACCGCCCCCGCCGGTCGAAGAAGTCGACCCTGCGCTGCTCGAGGCCCAAGCCAAAGCCAAGGCCGAGAAGGCCGCCAAGACCAAAGTACTCTACGCTACGGTGCGCAATGCTGCCGACAAGCTTCTTCATCTTTGTACTGGCGACGGCCCGCTCTTTCTCGAGGAGAATGTACTCATGCAGTACGATGCCTTCCAAGCCATCTTTGCGATCCCCGACACTGCGACCCAGCTTCGCGCAGGTGTCGTCCTCTCGACATGTACAAACGTCAACCCTTCACTCCTTCTAGCACGCCTCGCGGCCAAGGTGGTGCAGCACAAAGAGAACGGGGCCAAGTTTGGCCTCCTCGGCACGCCGTGTCTCTTGACAGTGCTGCAAGATCAGTTCAAACTCCAGTCGACTCCACTTGCAACGGACGCGCTTGCAGAGTTGCCGACCGACGACGACCGACGATCTGTCGAGGCCAAGTACTCGAGCTTTGTCATGTACATCTCTATGGCCCTTGCGCCGCTCTCGATCCACAGCACGGAAGCCTGCGATGTACGTCGTCCTCTCCAACCAAAATGTCACCACGCGCTAGGCGTGTGGTGACGAAACCAAGAGCCCCGTGGGTCCACTCGTAAGTTACATTGTCCACCACGCGGCCGACGGCGACATCTTGCTTGAAAACCCGCTCTCGTTTCCTTGGGGGCTTGACGACCGCAGTATTTCGCCTCTGGAGCACCCCCCGGTTCGCGCTAAGCCGCAAGTGTGGGCTGCGCAGGCCGTCGCGGCCTTGGCGCGCTGCTACGCGCACTGGGTCGCACTCGCGACGCCTCGCCCAGACGGTACGTCTGCTATCCCTCGTCATTGGCACGATCGCAGTGCGTAGAACCGCCTCCGCCGGTGGAGAAGAAGGGCGCCAAAGACAAAAAGCCGGTTGTTGTCAAGGAGATTCCCGTGACGGGCGACCGCGTCACGCAGCGCATTGCGACACATGCGTTTGCGCTGCTGCAATTCCTTCGAGAAATCACCGACTTCGACGTGCACACCGAAGTGCTCGCGATCTTGCGCCCGCTTCCGCTGCTCCCGAACGGGCGCAAGTCGCTCCTCAAGCAGGCGTTGGACGCGCCGCTGGAGCCAATACCCGATGGCGTCCAGCTCGGTCATTGGCCGTTCCTAGACCCTCTTGCGCCCGCCATGGCCGCCCACGCGCGAGTGCTCGAGGCCATTCTCCACGTTTTCCACCGCGACGACTCGCCGCTCGACAACATTGCGGCCGCCCTCGCGCTGCTCCACTCGCTTCTTTTGGATGAAAAATCGGCCCCGGACGAGTACGACATGGACCTCTTTGTGAACGCGGGTCTGCACCTCGGCGTGTTGCCGATGCTCATTGCGCTCCTCGACACGCAGCGCATCGATGCGACTCCGATCGATGGTCTCCAAGGCGCCCTGCGCGGTCTCGCGCAGTACCTGATCCAACTCGGAAAAGTACGCGAGCCCAGTGTCCAGGCCAAGCTCAAGGTGTATTTGGATGAAGAGGAAGACGGGTCGCAGCCGCAGCTCGACGCGGTCGCACGCACCAAGACGATTACCACGCGGTGCGTATCGCTCTCCTATGATGCAACAACGTAGTGGTGTAGGTACGCCGACTTGCTCTCTCGGCCGTTCGACTTTGGCCGGTTTGGGTACATGGCCAAGGCAGCAATTCACATGGCGATCGACCTCAACGAAGCGCCGCTTGTACAGCTCTTGCTCGACGCAGGAGTCTCGGCGCAACTCGCGGACCGCGACGGTTCGTCCTGCCTCATGCAAGCCTTCGTCGCCGGCAATGACATGATGGTGCGCGCCCTCCTCGACGCCGGCGCCGACGTGAATGCGGTCAATGCCGCTGGGACGCCCGTGCTCAAGTTCAGTCTCTTCTCGTCCAGCGTTGTGCAAGACCCGGCCGTCCAAGCGCTCATCGCGGCGCGGCATCACAAGACGGGCGACCCGTTTGAGACCGCCAAGGCGCTCGATAGTCTGTACGTCGAGACGATTTCCGACTACACGACGCAGTGCCTCGAGCGCGGCAGCGACCCGAACGTCACGAGCGAGCTCGGCACGTACCCGCTGCACTGGATTCTATCGACGTGTCACCTCCACGCCAACATCCGCGGCTGCGACCTCTGCTTCCGCCTCGACTCGAGAAAGCACCCGGAGGATGTCATCGAGCAGTGGATCTCCGCGCTTCTCAATGCGGGCAGCGACATGAACGCGTGCAACAAGCTCGGGCGCACGCCGCTGCACCTCGCTCTCTTGCACGGCCACAGCGGCCCCGCCAAGCTGTTGCTCGAGCGAGGCGCGAATCCGTTTGTCCGCGATCGGTAAACCCTCGCACAGAGCGACATGTAAACAGCATGGTGTGTAGGTTTGGCTGCTTTAGCCTCCACTATCTCTGTCTCGGGCGCTGCGGTGAGGCCAGTGTGCAGCTACTGGACATGATTCTTGGCCGCGCGACCAAGTTTGACGTCACGACCGGCGTGCACAACGACCTGCGCAAGGGCAAGTCGGACGCCGCCAAGCGCCTCGTGGAGCTCGACGCGATCTTTGCCGCGGGCTTGGAAAACATTTTGCGTCCGCACAGCCTCAGCATGTGTCCATCGACGCCGGCCGAGCTGCTTCTGCACGCAAGTCAGTCAGGGTACCTCCCACTGCACTTTGCTTGCGGCGCCACCGAGCCCGACATTGACGCGAGCTACGAGCACCTCCGAGGTAGGACGTCGTTGTTGGGGTCGAAAAGAGCCACCATGTGGCTAGACTCGCAGCCGACTCGGCGTCAGATCCTGGAGCACCTAGTGTTTGCCTATGACGCAGACCTGGCGGCGCCGACGGCGACTCATGCCAACGCGCTTCACATCGCGTGCAAGGCTGACGTCGAAGGCGCCAACGCCGAGATCATCAACTTGCTCCTGCAGTCCGACGTGGGCCTCAACCACGTGCACGACGTATCGCCCATCGACCGGCGCACCGACACGCTGCCCGTCGGCGCCTCCGCTTTGTTCAACAGCAGTGTCGCGTACGTCTCGAGCGCCAACGTCGCCCTGGGTACGTACCACGTCTTGACGCTGCCTTGTGGGGACCTCGTACCGGACGTCCCTGAAACCGCGCTGCGCAGCATAAGCTCACGGGCGTCGCTTCTCTTGGACGGCGACTTTGCGTACGCCCCTCTTCACTACGCTGTGCAGCACAGCGACAACGCGACGTGGCAGCTGCTGCACGCAGGTGCCGAGCTCACGCCCGAAGGGGCCGACGTCCCGCTCCTCGCACTCGCAGTTGCCGCTGGACGCAGCGCGGACGTGGTCGCGTACTTGACGCCACTCCTCTCGGGACAAATCCCGACGCGCGTTGAGCTCAACACCGAGTGGCGCGGCTCGGCGCTGCACTTTGCTGCGCGACGAGGCAGCGCCGACGTCCTTGGACCGCTTCTCGCAACGCCGAACGCGGGGCGCCACGTTAAGGTCAAGCACGACGGCTTTACCCCGCTGCACATGGCATGCTTGGCACCGGCGATCGCACCGAACGTGATTTTGCAGCTCTTGGACGCTGGTGCGTCGCTCTGGGAGGTCGAGCCGGTCCTTGACATGGCGCCCGTCCATCGGCTCTTGGTCGCTCATGCGCTGCCGCTCTTGTCCATCTGCATCGAGCGGGGTCATTTGGCGCGCAGCGATCTGCGGTCCGTCGAGGCCTACGTCGCGGTGCACCTGGCGGACGACGACCCCACCTGGTTGGTCGAGTTTGCCGATTGGATCGTCCAAGCCAAGCGTCCGTCGTGCGTACAGCAAGCCAACGACGACGATGACATGGGAGATAACGACGCGGAAGCGTTCAAGGCCGCGACGCTCCTCCAAGGCGATCCCTGCTCGCCCGAATTTGTCATAACATGAGCTCTGCACAAATAACAAGGGACATACAAGTAAACAAAACCGCAATAATAAACGTCGAGGCAATTGAATTCGTAATTTATCACAAACACACTACAGACAACAAAGGACGACAACAAGGTGGACGACAGCCGAATCCTCAGACGAGGATGCCCATGCGGGATGGCAGTCGGATCATATCGTCCGTTCCGACGCCCTTGGCGACGCTTGTCAGCATGTCCGTCAAGTCAAAGCGGTACGATGGCGAGTACTCGAGCGCCTTGTTGTTCTCGTCGTTCGACCCCGCCGTGCCAACGGACGAGCTGACCGAGTCAGTGACTGAGGATCGATTCCGCGCGAGACTAAAGTCGGGCATCGGACCCTTGGCGGCGCGCGACGACTTGTTCGCATGGTGGTCCTTCGGTCGGTCGCCGAGGCCTTGGGCGTAAAAGCCGCGGATCATATTGGTGCGTTCGAGGCGGAGAAAAGGAAAATGGGCGCAGGTGTCGAGCCATCACCGTAAAGTAGGTGCTCCAAAACAGCTGTTTTCTGTCCGGTTGCTATGGCAAGTTCGAAGCACAAGGTTGAAGCGGCAGTAGCAACCCAAGCTCTCAACGCAGTGGTCCACGCGCATGTTTGCAGCACACCAAGTGCCCAAAGCTACTCCACCCATGGTGGGATACTACTCCGCGCCAACCTGAGTCGAGGGAGAAGGCCATCGATCATGGACCAAGCAAATCGAATCTGTCACGCTTTTGTGAGGCTCCGCGTGGTTATCCGCCTCCATGATCCGCTTGGTCTTCGGTGCCTCGGAATCTTCGTGTGGATTCGTATGGCCACAAAATCCAGCGCCGCGCGATGAGCGTCGTGGACGACGCATCCTCTTCCACGGATGATGCATCGGATGATGACGGGCACCTGGACGCGCTGCGGCCTGATCAGATTACCCACACCCAAGGGCCAATTTTGGTTGAGGCAGTTGGCTGGGGCCGACCGCTCTCGGTCCATGGATGTCCTCGCGACTTGAGTAAACTAATCGATCCTGCCAAGCGGGCGAGGTGGCATCGTAGTAGCCAAGTGTGAACGCGGGCGACCAAAACCTTGTGCAGGGTGGTATGTGGGCAAGACGCCGCTCACATCGTTCGGATCTGAGAACAAGTGCTTTCGCTTGTCTCCGACGTATCACACTGCAGCACTCACGGCACCGATTTGACGATTGCCTCCGCGCTTCCCTCAACTTTCGACGCAGAGGCGCCTCCGTGGGCTGCTGCGTCGAAAGATTCTCGGCAGCTTGATCAGACACACAATGAAAACACCCACAAGTTCACTTGACTAACGACACAAAGAGAAACCAACTAGACAAAGATACCGGGACTGAACGACGGTGTCATCGTTAGCCGTACTGCGCTCTTGCCTCGGGACAACCCTGGTGGCGGGTGCACCGGCGCAACGTCGACGCCTTCTGCCAGAGCTGATACGAGCACGTCGACTTGGAAGGGAAAGGCGGGCTTGTACTCGTGGACGGCGTCGCCATGGAGGAGGACGTTGGCCGAGCTCGGGTACGTCGCGAGAGACGACTCGAACGAGTCGGCTCGCGTCGCGCGCATAAGTTCTGGGTCGTCCTTAGGCTTGTGCGGCCGGTCGCTCAGGCCTTGGGCGTAGAATCCTCGCAGCATCGCGGAAGCTGTGAGAAGGTCACGTGAAATGGAAAACTGCAGTGGGCTGGTTGTGCTCAGGCGGGATATTCTCTCACCATATGGCGGGGTATTCCCTACTAAGATATGGACGCAACTGCTGGCCGTCGTCCCACGCCATGTGTTGCAGCAGGTTTCTCTACATGTGATCCGTCCAAGTGGGTACCCTGCGAAGGCAGCATTGGAGCTTTGGCGACTCCACTGTACGCAGCGTCCTACACTGCGCGCACTTCTGGAGCTGCACCCGTCTTGACGACGACGCCGCCTCTACTTTCCTCCCAGTCGTCTTACTGCCGAGAAAAAATGCTGACCGCCGAGTCGATCGACGTCGGAAACAGAGAGTCGGCTGCTTGTCGCGCGTGTCGACATGGCAGTCGTGCTGGTCGGGCGGTCTGTCAGCGTTGACATCGCTCCCGCATTCAACGTCGTTCTGGAGTAAGCATGATGCTACCAGTGGATTGCATCTCGGTTGTGAATAGAATTGCATTTCGTTGGCGACTGCACTTTCCCGCTCGTCGAACGCTGTCCAGAGCGCTGTTCAGCTGTCGGAGGAAGACAACGTCGAAGCATCATCAACGATCCAAGACGCTTGCCGCCCCTTGCAGAGCGTAAACAGCGATGGATACGAGTCGCCCACATGGGTGCGCGATGGCATGTCCGCGGCAACGCCACCACCAACCGCCGATCTCAAGTTGATTGAAAAGGTGCACTGCGCAGAGCGATTTGCGCTTGTGGTCTTGCGTGCGACACCGGTTGAACCATGCAGAGTCCAGAGCGATACCAGAACGTCGCGACAGACCCAGTACAGACTCCCAGCATCCGAGTTGCAGACGCGCGAGGGACCCGGGCTTGAGGCGGCTGAGAGCTACTGGGCGTCGTGCTCATCTGTACGTTCTACTCAGTCTGGCCCAGGCGCGCAAGATTGACCAAAATACTGTGACGAACATCGTGCGGTCCACGAAGACGCACATGATGACTCCAAACGCTTTGCCTGGACGTATAGTTTTCTCGTGTCATCTCCGTGGCGACGTAAGATCGAGGTCCGCAAGACAACGCGATATTGTGTGGGCAGAAATGTTTAATTTACATAAATATAGGAGGTCCAACGGGCGGTTACGTGAAGATGCCACCCGAGTACGTCATGCGCATCACGGGCTTTTGGTGGTCGACCGCTTCGTGGTGGACACGGCGCGGCTTCTCGTGCTGGGTGACGCCACCGTCGACGCTCTTGATGAGATCGACGATCATCGTGTCGAGGCAGAAGCGAAACGACGGCTTGTACTCGTAGTAGATGGCGGCGTCTGGGCCCGACCCGTGCGTGTGCATGGACGAGTCGTTCGAGTCGGTCGTGCCCGTGCGAAGGCGGCCCTCGGGCCCGTGGCGCTGCGTCAGTCGGTCCTTGGGCGTCGTGCGCTGGGCCTCGCTGATCGTGTGCGCGTAGAAACCGCCGAGCATGGTAGGTTGGTCGGGTATGCGGGACGAGGCCGAATCGGAAATGAGCTCGGGCAGGAATCTACTGGTAGAAGATGGCCGAACACAACGTAAAATCGTGCCCATGGACTCTATATGGCAGCCAGATGGGCGACGCTACCAACACATGGCGCGTGATTGCCGTTGTTATAACGCCCTGCGCGTGGTGTTTGTCGCCCTTTTATACAGGCACGAGCACCAGCGCGGCGTTATAACGTGCCGCACGCCGGGAACGCGTTCAGTGCGGGGCCTGTGAGTCACGTACGGAGTCGATTGAAGCGATGGCGTGGGCGCCCCGGCTGTAATGGTTTTGGCACCGACACCGGCCTTCAAGTCCGCCCCCTGTGGTCAGAGAGTGGGCGAATGCAAAATTCGACCGGCCAAGCAGCCGCATACAGTCGCCGAGCGACGTCGCTCGAACCTCCTACATACTTGCGAGGATACGTGGCTGCAACGCTCTCGCAAGGGCAACTGCGAGCATCTTGGTCGAACTTCGACCAGAAACATAGTAGCCGCAACTGCGAACCAGATTCCGACCGCCAGCGCATATCTTAGCGGTTACGTCTCTTGGCTGGTATAAAATGGGTCAGCAAGTGAGCGGGGTGGCGGCGCCAGCTGAAATGAACGCATGCGCAGCGTGTTGTCTCGACACCGCGTCGTTGCAAGTTGCCTTTGGGCATATCACTCGCCTCGACCAGCCCAAGCGGAGCTCGACCTGCCAACGTATGTCACTTTGCTCTTTGATGCAATCATGTAATCTTACGTGGCAGGCTGCCTATCGCCGTCCGTGGCTGCGCTTCCGTACCTACTCTCACTGAACCTCGCCCGCAACAACCTCGACGGTCGCTTCATCCAACGAACGATTGGTTGTTGACATGACTCGTGTCCAGGCAGTCTTCCGCCGACCTTTTCCAAGCGCCTGACCTCTCTGGATTTAAGCGGCAATCGACTGCACGGTCCAGTGTCCATGAGATTACTGCGTGATGGCGACGTGGATACAAACTTGCATTAGGCCCCTTACCACCCAGCATTGCTCGCTGCACGAACCTCACACGACTGCATCTGCAACAGAACGCCTTGACCGGTGAACGCAACCATCGATGTTCGATGAACGACCTATGTTGACGCTGTGCAAGGTGCGCTACCGGCCAGCATTGGGCGTCTTCGGCGCCTGCAGTCGCTGCGCCTCGAGCACAACTCGCTCGACGGCCCGCTGCCCGAGTCCCTCTTCGACCTCGTGCACCTCACGCGCCTGAACTTGCGCGCCAACTGCTTTACAGGCGGTCTCTCGGATCGCATTGGGCGCCTGTCCAGGTTGAAGTTTTTCTCGGTGCGCAACAACCTGCTCCAAGGTACACGTCCGAGCTGCTGCGGTCGCTCATGACGCGCCAGGACCGCTGCCTCCGACGCTGGGCGACTGCCGCGCCCTCACGTTTCTCAACGTCTCGAGCAACGCCTTTCGTGGTCTTACTACCCTCTCGCCCACGACGCTTTAGTAACGTGCGTCTAGGCACCGTCCCCGCGTCCCTCGCGCAGCTCCACTCGCTTCGGTTTGCGTACCTCTTTGAAAACGACTTTGACGGAATCCTCCCGGCGTCGCTGCAGTCGCTGCCACTGCTCAAGGAGATCGACGCCCGGCGCAACCCAAAGCTCGTCGTTGCCACCGAAGAAAAACCGTGCCACCGACTAGAGCTGCCGTGCACCCCGGACGTGGTCGTGCCGCTTCCTGTCAGCTAATTATTAGTGTCGAGGGCATGATTCAATGTTTGTATGTACAAGTTGACGTCTCTTCTACGGTCACAAGACCCTGCTGCTTCTAGCTCTCTGTGTAACGCTGCGTCACGGCGCGCGACCGCGTGCCACGCCGGACGGGCGACGGCGTCATGGGTTTCGCGCGCGTCGAGCGCTTGGCGTCGACGTCCACGGCCTGCGGATTCGACGCCTTTGCATCGTTTTCGGTCTCTGTGTGGACAGCTGGGACCTGACGTGCGACCTCGGTCGTCCCCTCGTCGTTGTCCGGGCGCTCGAGCCACTCGATCGCCGGGTAAATGATGAGCGCGTCAAAGACCCACACCATCGAGAAGCGGTGCCCAATCTTGACGTCGTTGGCGATGCGGTGGTACGAGCTACGTACGCACATAAGCACGTTTGCAAGTGCGCGAGCTAGAGACGCACCTCCACACCGTCACTGTAAAGTAGAGTGCAAGCACAACGTCGAGCGTGTAGTGCATGCGCACCCAGACGATCGAGATGAGGCCCGCAATCTACAAGCATATGAACATGCAAGCGAGGATTCTAAGCGGCAGCCTACCGTGATGAGCCAAATCGTGACCTTGATGTAGTTGATCGAGCCCGGGACCCACTTGTAGTACGTGTGCCACGTCTACGCCAACAGCAGCATGAGGCTCGAACCATCACATCGAGAACGCACCATGGCGCAGAGGACCATGAGCATGCTATGCCCACTAAAGACCATGTCGCCGCACGTTACTTCGCCAACGGGCACGAGCAACTTGAGGCTGCGGACGAGGACGGCGCGCATCGTAATGTCTTCCCAGCGGTGCGCGCCACTCTAACCCGCTGCTTGAGTTCAAGGCAACATGAGCGTGGCCAATGTACCTGGAGGTTACCGAGGGGCGTCATGGCCCGGCACTTTTCAGCGCTATCGGGCAGGCTCGTCGAGATGACCGTGACAGACCGCATCATGCACAGCGAGCCGTACACGATGAAGAAGCGCTGCACGATCTTCCAGCGCGCAGGGTGCATGCCGGCAAAGATCGTCGTCGTGATCGTGAGGATGCCCATGATGATGTCTGGGATCTTCTCGGCCTCTTCGTGGTACACGTGCTCGTTGATTGCGAGGTTCTTCCACTCGGGAAAGACGTCGTGGCCGAGATCCGGCAGCGGCAAGAGGTTCTTGGGATTGCGGTACCACGCGAGCGAGTTGCTCCAGCACATGACGAACGTGCCCAGCTCAAAGAAGAGGAGGCTCGCCGCCACGCGCCGCCACGTGTGCGACGTGGTGTGCATGACGAGGATGAGCGGGAGGAGGAAGATGACAAAGGTCCAGAGGAACCGGTTGAGGAGGCCTTTTTGGCCCTCGAAGACCATGCCGACCGTGACGCCGTGCAGCCAGAGCAGCACGCCCACGCTTACGAAGAGCAGCCAGTTGCGGCGCTGGAGCCGCAGCGACCGGCGCATGCGCTCCAGCAAGCCAAGGTGGCGCAGCGTGTCCATGGCGAAGGCGAAGCGGATGTCGCGACTGGCCACGTCAACTGCGGCACCGGGAATGGGTCACCCCTCCCACACTTGATGTTACGGTCCCCAAAGACCTCTCAGAATACATAAAACCGCTCAGAATTTCCCAAATTAGTCTCAATCAGTGGCCGCCTTCTCACATGCGGTGCGAAAACGGCGGCGTCAGCGGTTCGGCGCAAAAATAGAGACGTTTTTGAAAACTGTACCAACGCCACGCTTCAACAATGTAGAACCGGTGGCCGCCGAGGGCCTGCCCGGCCGCTACATGTTGGCTCGCTCGCTTCCGAGGGCCGAGCATGAGAGGAAGTAGCTGCGTTGCAGAGAAGGTCATGGCAGAAGACGGACCTGGATATGATGCCTGGGCATAGCTAGCGCAATCCAAGGTGCGCAGCTGCAGCGAAGCGACAGGATCGCAGGCGCCAAGCTGCACAAGAACCCGCCAGCGCCAACATAGAATCGCCATGTCGACGCTAGGCCGGCGTCTCTTCGGTAGATGACGGCGACAGTGCTATCACGAGCATTCTTGCCACGCGACTTTCCAGGCCAAGCTGCAGGCGTGAAGAGCGTGACCGCGGGTTTTGTCTCCTTGTCGCATCTACTACGTATCCAAGCACCAAGGCCACTTGCATGTCCGATATAAGCAAGATGGCCATTCGTCTGCCTGTGGCCGTGCACACCGTTGCTGGCAGTAGGATGGAGCATACGGCCGGCGCAGCAGCTTGGACGTCCATGGCCTCTGTCGCTCTGGCGGAACGCTGGCGAACAAGGGGCCGCGTATCCGGATAGTTCTGCAACGATTTCCGGAGCAATCAGATCCAAGTTTTCTTTCGACGGCTTTTGGATCGGCGGAGGGAGCGGGCGGGCAAGATACCGACCACCAACGACGCACGACTCGAGACGAGAGACCGCGCGGACGAGAAACGCAACAAGATGGTCGACATTGCGTCCTTCCCCTCCATCATACGCAGCATGACCTGGGGCGCCGCCAAGTCGGAGGACGAGAAGCACCTGCGCGAGCCCTTGCTCATGCCCGAGGACGACGACAACGATAGCCTCGACGACGATGACAACCAGCGCGTGTACGACGTTCACGAAAGGTTGATGAAGAAGAAATTGGACGCGCACGTCGTCGTCAAGGTCGAGCCCAAACTCACCCGATCCGAGCGCCTGCTGCGCCTGGGCCGGTCGTCGGCGATGGGTCTCTTCGCCTCGATCGCATCGCGCCCTTCCGCAACAACGTACATGAATCTGTCGCCCAAGATCGAATCCAACCAAGAAATCATGGTGGCAGCGCTCATCAAACTGGCGGTCTTGACGATCTTGGCCGTTGCATGGCTCCTCTCTGCGCTCTACCGACAAGCTGCCCTTGCGCCGTAGCACGCCACACCTTCTTCATCGTCATATTGACCACGTCTCTTATCCATAACATCAGGACGACGTAACTCAACCCAATTATCAACTTGAACGCATATGCTTTTTGTACATCTGACGCTTTCCATTGGAGAACTCACGTCTCATGCAAAGAGTATCAATGCAATTATCTTAGTCGTTCTCACTCCATCTCGCCTGTGGGGCGCGACCCAGAGCGCGTGAGAGTGTGGTCGTAGGCGAGGCCGCCATGGTACACGGCGTCCATGCCGAGGATTTCCTTCTCCTTGGAGACGCGGAGGCCGATCGTGTGCTTGAGCGCAAGGAGGAGAAGCGTCGTGACGACGAACGAGTAGCCCGCCGTGACGCACTGGGCGACGAGCTGGTACACAAACTGCATACTGTGGCCGTAGAACGCGCCGCCGACGATGGCCGGGTTCACATCAGGCGTGGCAAAGAGACCTGTGAGGAGACCACCGACGAAGCCCGCGCACCCGTGGATCGCAAACGAGTCGAGCGTATCGTCGTAGCCGAGGCGGTTCTTCATGCGCACGGCCGCAAACCCGGTGGTGGCGCCGAGGATCCCAAAGATCACGGCGGCCCATGGAAAGACATAGCCGCAGCCCGGGGTGATGCAGACGAGGCCCGCGACTGCGCCACTGGCGGCGCCACACGGATCAACCTTGCCGCTGCTTAAGTAATCGACAAACGCCCAAGTCAAAAAGCCTGCTGACGCGGCGAGGTGCGTGTTGATGGCGGCGATGGCCGCGACGCCGTCGGCAGCGCCCTCGGACCCGGCGTTAAAGCCGAACCAGCCAAACCAGAGCAAGGTCGTGCCAATCATAACGAGCGGGACGTTGTGGGGCTTAACCTCGCCGCCGTTGGTGCGACTTCCGACGACGAGCGCGGACGCGAGGGCGCCAAAGCCACTCGCAACGTGGATGACGGTGCCGCCAGCAAAGTCGAGCGCGCCGAGCTTGCCTTCCCAGCCCATGGCCTTGGCCGCCCAGTTGTCGTCGAGTTTCAAGGACCACATCCAATTGGCCAGCGGGTCGTAGACGATGGACGTCCATAGAAGGAGAAAGAGGACGTAGGTGCTAAACTTCATGCGACCGACAATGCCGCCGCTGAGCAGCGCCGGCGTAATCGTCGCAAACTGGGTTTGGAAGAGAGCAAAGACAATGTGCGGGGACGTCGTCGCGTACGTGGCGCTCGGGAGCTTCCCCACCTTGGCGTACGTCGCCCAGCTAAAGAGGCCGTCCGAGCTAAACGCCACCGAGTAGCCAAAGAGCCAAAACTGGATCGAGACGAGCGCCATGCTCATGAACGACATCATCATCGTGTTGGACGCCATGTCTTCGCCCGCGAGGCCGGCGTAGAAGAAGGCGACGCCCGGCGTCATGATCATGACAAGCGCGGATGACATGAGCATCCACGCAGTGCTACCCGTGTCCAGCGCTCCATCAAGGACGGCACCAGCCTTGGCGCCTTGGTTGGCATAGTTGACGCAAACACTCGAGATTGGGTCGAGGTACTGGGAGGGGCCACACGAGAGGGCGGACGAACCCGCAGCGACGGCCACTGCAAGCCCAAGGAGCCACTTGGTTTGGAGCATGCTATGAGCAACTTGGAGCGACAAAGCAATTGTGAATCGCGGTTCGTGCAAATGCCAACGGCGCTTCAACCGTCATTTCTTCGACATTCGATTTCCATGCGCTGAAACGCAGCGCAGCTCTGGACCGTATTTAGCGCACTGGCGGATTTCACAGAGGTGGAGTCCATCCTCGAATTCTTTCACTGCATTTCGATATTAGACCAATGTGGTGATTACACAGCATCGGACCCTTGCGAGCTCGACGGACACGTAGCGCGCATTGGGCACGACACGCACTTGGGCTTGACCGCTTTGCAGTACGTTTGGCCAAACCCGATCAGAAGCTTGGACATGTCGCCCCACTTGTCAGGCGGAATCCACCCCTCGAGCTCTCGGCGAGAGTCTTCGGCGGTCTTGGCTGGCGCAGAGGTCCACCTAAGCCCATATATATCATTGAACGCACGGTGTTCTTCGCTGTTTTACCCGAGTCGGCGCGCGATGCGGTGGACGTGCGTGTCGACAATGATCCCGTCCGCGCGCCCCCACGCCACGAGAGCGATCAAGCGCGCGACCTTTGGACCGATGCCAGGAAGCTCCATCTATCATCCCATCTTCATTGCCTGCTGTGGGAGAGCGTGCATGACTTACGAGCTCGGCGATCGAGAGAGGAATGTCACTCTCGAAGCGCGTCTGCAATATGTCTGCAATACGCAGCAACTGCTCAGCCTTTTTCCTAGCATAATTGTCACTCATCTCGGAAGTTGGAACGGACGTACAGGTGGAACCCGACGGGACTTAGTAGCGCATCAAGCTCGGCGACCGAGAGTGCGAGCACGGACGATATTGTGAGACCCCCAGGCAGCGCGTGCAGCCGCAACATGGCGCCCGCTGTGATTTCGTCTCTCGTCTGCGTGCTCAGAAGCGACGCGATCAGAATTTGCCAGCGCTGGTCCTAGCTCAATGCGTCCGTGACAGACCGAGCGCCGGTACAATGCGCACCTTGGGCGCCATCGAGGCGCTGTATAGCTGCTGCGTGCCGTAGATGTCGACTTGCGCGATCATAGTCTTGCGAATCGACTGCATGCAAGCGAGCATGGCCAGTCGAGGGTCGTCGCCATCCGCTTCTTCCTTGGTCGTAGCTTCGGGTCGCTGCCGCTTACCCGACGTAGCAGGCCTCGGCGACAGAAGCCTCTTGGCCCGCTGCTTGGGCTGAGCCTCGTCCCGTGGGTGCGCAAAGCGCAGGAACGGATTCGGCGTGCTCATGCAAATGGGCAGGCTCGACTGTCAATTGGCCAAAACAGAGCGGAATTGAGCCAATCTAGAGCGTTTCCTTCTGACGCCACCCAATCAAAGAGCGTCCGGTGCGATGGCACGTATTGTCATTGTCATTGTCATTGCATACATTGGTGAGCACATGGTAGCTTAACGTTAGTCGAATCGTTATATTGTGACTGGGTGTCTTATGTATCAACATCTGGGCTCTTACTCTGCGAGCGTCAAGCGCGCCACGAGACCAAAGTGGTCGCTCGGGAAGAGGGTGCTGTCATCGCCGCACTGCGTTTGGCCGACGACTTGGACGTACTTGACGGTGACCGAATCGCCCTTGAGGAAGATGTAGTCGAGTGTGCACTCGTCGCCAACGTCCTTGGTCGGCGCTTCCAGCCCTTGATGGAACGTCACCTCGGGTTCGGCCGAGTGACACGTGTTATGCGCGCTCTTGTAGCCACGACCGACGAGGTACTTGTAGCAGTCACCGTGGGGGAAGCAGTTGAAGTCGCCCATGATCGCCACTGCTGTGAGAGCGTCATCGACCTCACACTTGGCGTCAATCCAGTCGCAAATCTGGCGTGCTTCGTCGATGCGAATGTCTTCTTGGTCAAGCGCCGATGAGAGGTGAACGTTCACGACCAGCATCTTCTTGTCTACGGTCGTCGTCACGTGGACGCACTGCGCGGCGCGCCAGCCACCGACAAGGAGCACATCCGCACCCTCGGGCCTAAGAATATGAGCATCGCGAACTACAAGAACAAAGAGGTTCGTACGTGAGGGCCGACCGGGCGAGGAGCGTCGTGCCAAAGACCCAGCCCGTGCCAAGGAGTCCATAGAGGAGGACCCGCAGCACTTCGTTGTGATAGATGGTCTGCGTGTGTCGACCGAGGATCGTCGCGAGGAAGCGCTCGTTGAAGCGCGCGTAGCCGTCGTAAAAGAAGCGCGCGATCGGGTTGCGCTCGCCCGAGAGGAGTGCGCCGAGATACGGGATGCGTTCAATGTACCAGCGTGCGCCCGGCGACCCAAAGGCCGTGAACGGCGTCGACAGCGCACTCGAGAGCTCGTCGCGAAGGTGCGCGTGCTGGCCGTGGTGCATGCCAATGTTGACTTCTTGGAGCGCAAAGACGTCGGCGTTGGTCGCCACGAGCGTCTTCTCGAGGAAGGGCCGGCGCTCGTCCCAGCGGTCCAAGACGAAGCGGATGTTGTACGAGCAGAGCGTAATGTCCATGGCAGATTGGTTTGTGCGACCGCCGGGCCCATCAAAGCCGAAGGTTCGCGGAAGGCGCGCCACAGTGTACACGCAAACGTGTGCGCAATCCTGCGTCCGGTCAACACAGCTGTTGGCCCAGTAGACAGGCGCCCATCTTCAACCACGCGTGTGAAAGTATTTACCACACAAATAGCATTTACCACACGAAGAGTATTTTATTATCAGGCTGTTTGTACGGAATAATTGCAGGCCAATATTTCGCACGGCAATTTCACACGTTTTCCGTGTAAAAACACTGGTTTCCCACCCCTACCCCGCCAACGCAGCAACACCATGTCGACGGACTAGACTACGTAATAGTACACGAGGAGGCGCTATTCCAGCACGCAAATGGCTTATTGCTTCTTCGCGTACGCTTGGTAGATCTGGTCTAGAAACGCAGGGTCCTCGAGACACGTGAGGAGCGCGTCCTTGAACTGGTCCTTGTTGAGCGTCCGGTCCTTGCGGCGGCTGCGGCGCCCGGCGTTGGACGGCGGCGTCGTCGCCTCCGCGTTGCTTGGCGCATCTTCCGCCTGCGTGTTTTGCGAAATCATGCCGAGAATGGCTTCGCCCGCGGCAATGCCTTCCGCCTTGCTCAAGACCTTGCTGGCTGCGCGCTTCGGGGACCCAATCGGGCCGAACGACTGTGTTGCCTACACGCACGTTGTTTCATCATTCCCACAAAAAAAGACGCCGTACCTTCTTTGCGGTCGCAGGTTCTTGGACCACGGCGGGCTGCGGTCGCTGTTGTTGTTGCTGTTGCACGGGCTGCGGTCGTTGCTGGCGGGGCGTCGGTGTCAAAGGGCCACCGCTCTTGATGGACGCCAGAATGCTGTCGAGAATCCATCAAACCTCGTGAAGCGCGCAAGTCGGCGTACCGCTCGAGGAGCTGCAGCGTCTTTTGCCGGTCTTCTTCCGGGAAGAACCAAATGCCATAGATCTTGAAGCCGCTCGGCGACGTCTACACACCGACATGAGCTACGCCATGGACGTGCATACAACGCGTACGGTGTCCACGCAGCGAATGATCAGAAACTCGTCCACGTTGTCCACGTTCAAGGTGGCATCGACGCCAATCGCAAGGTTGACCGTGCTGAGGCGGTTGTTGACAAACACTTGGAAGTGGGGCGCCGAGTACCTACACCCAGCTGCTTGACATTGGCGTTAGCCATGTCGTTCGTACCGCTTGACGACAAAGAGCGAGCCCTCGACCTCCTTGCGCTTCTACGCACACATGAGCAGCCTGCGTGGCATCGGTCGTAGCCGCGTACCCACGACTGGTCGGCCTGGTCGAACTCGTAGACGACGACGTGGCTGGCGGTGCCCACGAGCTCGCTGATCTGGTTGTCCTGGCGCTGCAGCACCTGCAGGTTCAAGGCGTCGGTCTGGGACGTGTCAACAGGCAGCGCCATCGGTCTCTTCTCTCTGTGGCGTCAAAGTCGCCGTCGTATTATTTCAACTCGACTTTTTGTCTCTGTAGGTTTGTATGTCAACACAATATTTTTATTTCTGGAAAACCTCTACGAGCCGATAGATCGGACGTATGCATTCCAAGAGGTAAATGACGTGGCAGCACTCGCTTGCAGGGCTACCAAAGGGAGATGGACAAGGAAGAGTCGATAGTTAAATGTGTTTTAAACAATCACAGACGCCTCAGGACCCGATATTGCTGCCCCAGACGTACTTGAGGAGCGAGCTGGCGCTGCTTGTGAGCGAGTTGGCGACCGAGTGCACGGCGCCACCGACGCTTTCGACGCCGACCTTGACGGAGCTCATGCCCTTTGTGACCGTCTTTTCGCTCGCATGGGCGTGGACAAAGTCGCTCAGCGTCAAGCCAATCTTCTCGTTGAACTTGCCTTCCATGCGCAGCTTGAGCGCGGTCGCCGCCTCTTCGTCCGACTGCCCGGGCAAGAAGCGCTCGATGACAAACGCGTCGAGGTCGGCCTGCGTGTAGTTGACGCCAAAATCCGTAATCTCCGGAATGGCATCGACCACGAGCCGCAGCATGAGCAAGAACAAGCTCACGTGGCGCCGTAGGCAGTTGAAGGCGACGACGCACGAGTTCTTGAAAGCTTCGACCTGAAGCGGTCCGCCGAGCGCATCGAGCATGTTCTTATCGAGGCGCATGGGTGGCTGGAGCGGCTTTGGGTCCTTCCCCAAGATAAAGCCATAGTCGATGTGGAAGAGGTTGCCGTCGTTCGTGAGCATGACGTTCTCTGCATGCCGGTCCCCGACGCCGAGGAGAAACGTAATGACGGTGTAGGCCGCCAACGACTCGCGAAACGACGTCGAAATGTCACTGAGCGTCTACACCAATCTCAGACACCTTGTCCATATGCAAGAAGCGAGTCGTACGCGGTGGCCGTTGTAGTGGTGTAAAAAATGCATGATGTTGCCGTGCTCGCGAATGATGGCGTAGAGCGTATGGGCGTTCTCGACGATCTCGATGAGTCCGTCGTAGCTCGACGTCGGGATCACACGGTACGTGACGAGCGCCGAGTTGAACATTTGCGTCTCCTGCTTGAGGATCGTGTACATGACGCGGATGATGTTTTGCACGGCTGCGTCCTTGCGCAGATCGTCACGCTTGTACATGAGCCGGTACGTTTGTCGCAGTGCGTGCGTTGACGGCGATGCGTCAGCGTTCTCGACGCCCGTGCACGTGACGATGACCGGGGCCTCTGCGCTGCGCATGACCTTGAGCGACGCGTACTGGATGCCCGAGATCGTGAGCATCGGCTCGACCGGTAGTCGGAGCGGCGTCGCGGCAAAAAGACCCGACTTGGACACTTCGTGCTCGAGCCGACTCACGACGACGCTCTGCTCGGCGCGGTGCGGCAGCTGCCACAAGATGTCGACAAACTCTTGGCCGTAAAGCAGCTGGGACGCCATGTCACCGTTGGCCGCCACGAGGCGGAGGAGGAGGCGCTGTCGGAAGCCGTCAAATTTGCGTCGGCAGCGGCGGTCTTCGGCAAGCACCGAGAGGCCCCAGTAGAGGTCGCTGCAGAAGCGCGGGTTCACGAGCGCTTGCGAGACGATCGCATTGCCGAGGCTGCTAGCGCACGTCTCGACGCTGAGCGAGTGTAGCACAATGGGGAGGAAGCTCATCCAGTCGTCCGGCGATGCCTTTCGCTGCAGCGCGCGCACGCAGAGGTCGCGCAAGCCAATGTGCTGGACGTTGGCGTTGGAGAGAATCTCAAGCGCGTCGACGCTCTCGAGCTCGTGCCGGCAGAGCCGCGAGCACATGGTGAGCATGCAGTTGTGCGTGCGCGGCGCTTGCATGAGTGCCAAGATATCGTCGACGATCGGGTCGGTCGAGTGTTCCTTGGAGACATCAACGGCCTTGACGAGCTGCAGTAGCCTACACACGGTGACGTCACGCGGATCCATGTCTGCGGTGCCTACCATTTGGAATGACCTGCGAGGAAGCGGCGGTTGCGGATGAGAAGGTCCTTCTCGCGCGGACTGAGCGGGTGCGACGGAAGGTAGTACTGGATCTGCCGGAACGTCGAGAGACACATGATGGACGCGCGGTGCCACTTGCGGCAGACCTGCCCCAGCACACGCAGAGTCTGGATGTCCCATCCGCAAAGCTCAAACACCCGAACCGTGTTGTAGTGCTGTCGGCGCTGCTGCAGAGCCGACGCGCAGTCGTCACAAACACGCTGCAGCACGCTTCCTTTTGGCGCCTGCTGAAGCATCTTGAGCTTGTGCAATGAGACTGCCGACGGCGTAAACTTGGCCACGACGCCGCGCTGCTCGAGGCTCGTCATGCTGCGCAGAAAGCGGTCGCGCTCGAGCTCGGCCGAGTGCTGCATCTACACGCGCACGTGAGCAACGTCCCAAAGCATTCGCCTGCGTACCTCGTCGAGAAACGACGTCGAGGAGCTCGAGCAGCTGCCGTGGAACTCGGTAAAGTCGTCCGCCGACGCCGAGAGCGCGGGCGTCGCCGAGTTGTACGACCAGACATAGTACCCGAGCGACCCGATGACTTCGGTGGCATTGGACGCAATCGCGCTCGAGTAGGACGCGTACTGCGCCTGGCCGTGCATGGCGTACGACACGGGCGTCGACTCGTAGTCGATGGGGATGACGAGGCGCTGGTTGGAGCACACGTTGCAAAAGATGCGCCCGCACGCGCGGCAGTGGTGCTTTCGGATGAGGAGCGTAAACTCCGTGTGGCACTTGAAGCACGCGTACACCGCGTCGTCTTGGACCCAGGACGAGAGGCGGCGCGGCTGCACGAAACGGTAGACGTCTTCGCCCTGCACGTCGCTGTGGGACCACGCGTTGTCGTCTTCACGCTCCTGGGCGAGCTGCTCCTTGAGCTCCCAAGCGAGCTCGTCTGCGTCGTTCTCGTCCGAGTTGTACTGGAACGGGTTGCGCTTCGCCGACCGCGGCTCGGGAGAGTCGGTCTCTTCCTTGAGCGTCGAGAGCATGTAGGGCCCGGACCGCGGGTAGCCCAAACGCTTCTTCGAGAGGCTTCGACTCTTGCTCTTTGTCTCGAGCATCATCGAGAACGAGAGGTCTGTCACTGGCGATCGATGCTGCTCGACAAAGTGATCTTCGTGCAGGTCGAGCTCGCGGAGCTGCGCCGTCGGTGACAGCGCGCCTTCATCGTGGGATAGCGCGTCCAGGAAGAGCCCATCGTCATGCTCTTCTCGGCCTTCGTCTCCATGCGCGACCTCGATCTCCATGCTCCCCGGAGGCTGCGCGACGACGGACTGTTCTTTGCTGGGTTGTTTTCGGTCTAATTTTGCGCCGTCATCCGGACGCTTCCTCCAACAACCGGATATTGCCAAAGATTCGTCGCAGAGGGCTGGATGCAGCTAAAAACACTCCATTTTCGCGGCTACTGCGAGAATACGACGCCGTGGTTCCAGCGATCGTTCGTGGCGCTTCAGCGACCATGGCGAAATGCCGATAGCTGTGATGTCAAGTCGATCGCATCTCGCCTTGAAAGAGCCTGTGCATTTGGCACAGCATCCGCCAGCTCCAAAATTGGGTAATTTTAGTCCACTGATTCAATTTGATACTCCTGCAAGCGGGAGACGATGCGCCCGGCAACCCAGCGCGTCGTGTACATCATCGCCGGCGAAGCATCGGGTGATGCCATCGGCGCCAAGCTCATCCGTGCCCTGCAGACCAAGGAGCCTTCGGTCACCTTCCGCGGCGTTGGCGGGTAGGCGCTACGAGGTGCAACACGTTCACGAGCTACTATGGCAGGCCGCAGATGACCAAGCAAGGCCGCTTTGCATCGCTCTTTCCCATGAAGGAATTATCGTTTATGGGTCTCACCGAGGTGTTGCCGAAGCTCTGGTCGACGCTGGTACGCACACGCGCCTTCACGCATTCGTACCACATATCGGTAGGGTCATCTCCATGCCGTCGCCAAGGACATTCACGCTTGCGCGCCGGACGCGGTCGTGACCATCGACTCGAAGGGCTTTACGTTTCGAGTGCTGCGCACCTTGAGCGCCCAGGGCCTTCTCTACCACGTGCTTCGCGTCGTGGACAAGCGTACGTCGCCAACGGATTCGCTCCCATCTCATCGGATGCCTAGTCGACGTTGCGTCCGTACGACGCAAAGCGGCCGTCGTGCACTACGTAGCGCCGTCTACGTGGGCGTACAATCACAAGTTCAAGCACATGGAGGCGACAGCAACCGGCCTCTCGCGCCTCATGGATCACATGCTCGTGCTCCTGCCTTTTGAAGCGCTGCTCTTTCAGCCGCGCGCAGAGGCGCGACCAGTCGTAACCTTTGTCGGCCACCCGGCTCTCGAAGACTTTGGCGATGTCCATCGCCTCTTTGAGACGGCTTTGCCGACACACGACGCGTCATCGGTCGAGCTACTGCCGCCGTCGCCGTGGCTGCCGTACGATGCGCACGCCGCGCGCAAGACGCAAGCGATCCTAGCGACCATTGCAGCCGAACGGGCGCAGCTGAAGGCGCCAACGTGGACCATCTGCGCGCTCGTTGGCAGGTGCGGTTTGATCTTACTGAGCACAAGTCGAAAGCTTCGTGTAGCCGAGAGAACGAGGTGTTGCAAACGATCTCGCTGGTGCGCCAAGCCATTGAACTCCATGCGCAAGCGAGAGCAGCGCCGGTAGAAGCGCCAGAGACAGGCAGATGAAGACACGTTGGGCACGTAGATTCACGTGGTGTTTCCGACCATATCGGCGGTCGCGCCCCTCGTCCGCGCCCACTTGGCCGACTGGTCGATCCCGTGTACAGTGCACGTCACGGACGACGCGAGCAAGAAGCGGTCGCTCTTTCAGGTTTGTCAACTCTGCGAAAATAAGGGCGCCAACATTGGTGATAGCAAAGCCATGCAGCGATCGCCGTCTCGGGCACGGTCGTGCTGGAAGCAGCGCTCGCGGGCCTGCCGACCGTCGTCATCTACCGCGCCAACCGCGTCACCGAGGTCCTTGCTCGGTCCCTCGCGCGTGTGCAGCACGTCTCGCTGCCCAACATTATGAGCTCACGGTCCACCACCACGCTGTGTCGCAAGTGCTCATCCCTCCGTAGCACCTTGATGCCTGAAGTGCTCTTTTCCGAGTGCACCCCAATCAACATTGCTGCTGCGCTCACGTACGCCGAGGCCGTTTGATTCGAACTTGTACGCAGTGCTCTTGTAGACGTCTCTGCGCCAAGCCGCCGAATGCAGTGCCGTTGAGCCAAGTGTTTGGCTCGCTCCTGCGATGGGACGTCGATCCGCATGTCCGACCTTGCCGCGCCAGCGAGGTGGCCGCAACGGTACCGCAAAGGTATATGACAAAATGAGTCTGATTGGCTCAACAAAGGTGGTCCTGGCCGAGATGGACCGCAAGCGCGACGCTGTGACCGGGAGATAGAGGTTTAGACCGATCGAGACGCAATCGCGACAAGAGCCACCGTCACGACGAGCACGACGATGACGGTGATCTCGATGAAGACGCGGATCGGGTACGACTTGGGCGACGTGTCTTCCTCTTCCTCTTCGTAGTCGATCTCGCTACAGTGTACGTTAAATAAGAAAACGACACAAACTAAGATGCAACCTGTCGGTGGAGCTCGGCGATTCTTGGTCCATGGACTGCACGACAATGTGTTCGTACTCGACGCGGAGAAGACCCCACATGCTTCGTCGAAACACTTCGGCAGAAGCCAGCACCGGGTCCAAGTAGAGCTACGACCATCCGTTTCCTGCTATGTATGATGGGTCGTGGGGTACCTGGATGTGACCGGGAATCGGACCGTACCCAGAGGACGGCACGAGCGTGAGCGTCCAGAAGAAGCGCAGGAAAAAGTCGAGCACGATCGCAACGTAGTAGGTCCACTTGGGGTACAAGAGCGTTTGGCGCAGAAACCCCGATTTGAGATCGCCGAGGCCCCAATCCATGTAGATATCCCAGACGAACTGGTACATGGTCGTGCCCACCCACGCGACCATGTAGCACGACTGGTACACGGTCCACTCGCGGTCCTGCTGCTTGAGGTTCGGGTGGAAGACGGCGAAGAGCACAATGGACTGCGCGCACGCGTACTTCATCGCGTTCGGAAGGTGCGGGAACCGGGCGTGCGTGTCGTGGTACCGGCGCATGCTCTGCATGAAGCGCCACCACTACACCACAATTAACCGAAGAAGAAGAGGAGGTGACGAAGTACCAAGGGCAAAGCGGAGAAGAGCGGGATGACGACCGTACGGTACACATCGCTTTGCGAGCACACGTCTTGGCCTTTTGGATCCTCCTCAAAGAAGGCGCCTAGAACACCAAACTATCAGCTGGAGCATAGGACGGGGCTCGAAGAACCCGAGGCAAAGTAGCACGTGGACCACGCGAGGTCGACCATGACCTTGACCAAACTCGTGAGGATATCGCCGACGTACGACTCGCGGAAGCGAACGATCGCGAACGGCGCCGCCATGACCCTACGCTTGCGTCAACTTGAAAGGTAGGAATTGAATGAATTCACCGGCCAATCGTGCGCATGAGCGACCGGCGCTGCTTGAGCGGAAAGATGAGCTTGAGGACGAGGAAGGCGTAGAGCATGAGCGGGTAGTAGTGCGCGGGAATGTAGTCGCCGAGGTCACCGCGCAGCACCTTGAAATAGAGCTACACCGAGAGGTTACCCACGCGGCATGAATTGCAGCTCGTACGAGGAGGTTGACGAGGTAGATGCACGTGACTGGCACGATCTGGTGGAGCAAGTGGAGGTACTGCGTCGACTTGGTGGCTTTGAGGTGGAAGACGCGGAGGAACGCGAGCCCGTACTGGTCAAAGAGGTACAGCTGGAGGCACCAGAACCACGCGAGGAGGACAAGGACGCCGATGCCTCGGTAGACGGCGATGACGGACGAGTGCCACAGGTTGTGGTGGTACGAGTCGTCAATGACGCTGTCCCAGAGCACCCAGAGGAGGAGGATGAGCATCATGCCCGTGCGCATACCAAAGTAGAAGCCCGACCAAATGATGTGCTCCTCGCTCAGCGGGTACAGCTCGCGGTTGGCCGCGCGCCAGTCGCCGCCGAAGAACACGCGCGTCACGAGCGACTCGAGGCGCACGATCTGTGCGTTTGTCTTGTCCAAGTCGGCAAAGTCCACGTCCTATACGTCCATGGTCAGGAGGAGGAGCTTGGACGACGTACATACGTCGAGAATCGTTATGGCCAGCGGGGCCCGTGCCGTAAGATCTACCCTGGAGCATGTAGCATGATGAGCGACAAGACTGATTCAACCTGCGTGGCTTGAGATCTGAAACTGGCGCAGCCACAGCAGTCGCTGGTGCAGGATGATCCACTCGTGCTTGGCCAGCTCGACCATGCGGCGCTCCATGGGGTCGCAGACCGACGGCGCGCGCACCGTGCCATTGACGCCACGCTCGTACTCGTCGAGCACGTTGGCGTACTCGGCCAGCTTTTCCTTGTAAAAGCCATTGATCTACGGATCCTGGGTACGCGATCTTTCGAGCGTGGGACGAGCATACCTTGCGGACTTGGGCGCGGAGGCTGCAGAGGTCGTCGTCCTAGCCACGCATGTAAGAGGTCATGCTGCATGATCCTGCGCAGCGACGTACGCGCGTCCACTCGTACAGCAGCTGCCGGTTCGGGTCCTCCATCTTCCTCTTCCTGCGCTCCCCGTCGCCAGACTCAAACTCCCACTCACTGCGTCCCACATGTATCCGGAAACGCTGGTGCCAATCATCCGGATAACCTTCCCGCGCTTATTTTCGGCATTCGCATTGGGTGCGTTGGTGGCGATGGGCAGCACGCCAGGCTTGAGATTCAAGCGACCGATGCTACTCGAGCCAAGGCGCATTGGTCATCCAACACGGCTTTGGCGATGAAGTACGCGGCCGCTCAGAGGAATTGAACCGGCGAGACGGACTGAAATGTATCAAGCGCTGATGGACAAATCAAGTCGAATCGAAAGGGTTGTCGGAGGTAACAGGTGCAAATGCGCAAGCCGCTGATACTACGTCGCTGCACATCGTCACAACGACGTGACAACAGCCAATTGCAGCTAGGTTCATGCCCCCGCCAAGGCAACGACTGCCACCGCCAAGGCAACGACTGCCACTGCCAAGCTTAGCTTGGCGCATCAGCGGATACTAGAGGACATGAAATATCGAATGACAGCGCTGGAAGGCAGCCATGGAACGCACTTGGTATGCGTCTTGAACGGTCGCTTCTGCCTCGAAAGGGAGAAATAATCTCGCGCGCCGCTGGACATGATGTTGCATGACGAGACCGCGACCGCTTATTTTCGGCATTTTGGCCGTTGCACATGCCGAATCCGCCCGACACAGCAACTTGCACAGTATCTCCGACGGCGGATTCGCCGATCTCGGGACCATGCGACTCCTCGCGGGAGATCGCAAGGCTTCATTTGCGCTATGACGGCTGCACTCGCGTGGCAGGCGCTGATGCTCGGCACGGGCACGGGTATCCTTGTCGCGACCATCTACGTCTTCATCCACGATGCCAAGAAGCGAGCGCACCCGGGTCCGGTACTTATCTGCATCGTGATTGCGTCGTGTGCCGCCATGATCGCCCGCGCTGCCATGGAGCTCGTCCTCCTCAGCGACGCACCTTCGACAACGACGGTCCTCGACGTCGCCAACCTTGCAGACGCGGCGACGAGCCGCGCGCTCGGGCCGTTCTGGTGCTACATCTACTTTGACGCAGCGACCATCTTCTGGTACCTCATGCTCGCCATGGACCTCATCTCGTCGCTCTCCAACCCGTTCCTGCCGTTTGCGTCGAATAACTTGATCCACCACGCACACGCGTGGCCGGCCGCGGGCATTTGGACCGTCATCTTCCGCTTTGGCTTTTTCCAGCGCGACTTTCACGACGGCGTCATGCGCGTCTGGATCGTCTTGCCCTCGTACGCGGTGCTCCTCTACATTGGCATCGCACTCCGCGTCGCGTGGGCCAAGTCGCGCGTGCTGCAGTACGAGGCGCACGTCTCGACGCGCAACATGGCGATGCTCATCCTCCCGTACCTCGCCGTCTTTGCGGCCATGAGCGTCGGGTTTCTTATTCTCTACGTCTTCGAGATGTACTACAGCACGACGAGCGCGACCAACTACTTGGACCAGCTCCTCCTCGGCCTCTCGACGCTCTTGGTCTTTGTGCTCTACTACTTTGACTCGGCGATCGTGTTTCGCCTCTGGGGCTCGACCAAGGCGTCGGTCGCCCGCCGCCGCCTCTCGACCATGACCAACCACACCGTCACGCCCAACAGCCCCCACTACCAAAGTACGTACCCCCATCGTGTTCTCGCGCTTCATTGGCTCGTGTAGTTGGTCGGGACACGGCCGATGACTTTGCGGTCGACGTCGCCCAGCAAATGCGCAACAGCGTCATGGAGTGCACGAAAGCGGGCATCTACGAAGCGGCCTCGGGCATGTGCGACCGCGACACGGTGCCCGGCCAAATCCCGCTCGAGCTCGAGTTTGCCAAAGTCGAAACCAAAGGCATCCTCGTCCACGGGCAACTCGCGACCGCGTCCGACCGCCTGCGCTTCACGGACGTCGCGCCGCTCGTGTTTCAGTCGATCCGCGAGCTCTTTGGCATCGACGCGGCCTCGTACCGCGATGCGTTTGCGCGCTCCGAGGGGCTGCGCGAGTGCGGCCTCAAGGGCAAGAGCGGCAACATCATGTACTTTACCCGTACGACGTGGACGGTCTCGCTCGTTTCTTATGGATGCATGGCAGACAATGCGCAGTTTATGGTCAAGAGCGTGCCCCGGTCCGAGTTTGACGTGCTCCGGTCCATCTTGTACGGGAACCGATATGGATGGTATCGATCCATGTCCTGCGTAGACCGGCGTATTACAAGTACCTCGTGACGCACCGCGCGACGCACCTCTGCCGGTACTTTGGCTGTCACTCGATCACGCTGCCCGTCGGCACTCGGTGCATGTACTTTGTCGTCATGCAAAACCTCTTCAACGAAGGTATCCATACCTCTACCTCAAGACATGGAAAGAAGAGCCATGTAGGACCGGTTCACGAGGTGTACGACATCAAGGGCAACACGGACCGTCGGCAAGCGATCCCAGACGGTGACGTGGAGCGCGTCATGCAGGACACGCTCGCGCGCAGGTGTATCGAGCCGCTCATGCTCGACATTGACTTTTCACGCATCCACCGGTGCATGCATCTCTCAGACGCGAACGCGACGGCGATGCAAGGCCAGCTCAAGTCCGATATTACGTTTCTCGCCGAGCAAAACATCATGGACTACAGGTGTCGTTGACGCTATGTTCTATGGACTCTCAGGCATCGTAGCATCCTCGTTGGTGTCAAGCACCTCTCGGGCGACGAAGCCCCCGTCGCGGGCCTCTGCAACCACGTGCCCTCCAAGGACCTTGGCGACGTCTACTTCGTGGGCATCATTGACATGCTGCAGCAATACAGCTGGCGTTGGGCGGTAGGCACCTTCGCAAGCGAATTTGCGCCTCACGATGGTATAATAGGTTCAGCGCTGGGTGCTTGGCACGCTCTTGTGCAAGGACACGCAGGACGTGAGTGCGGTGCCCGCACGCAAGTACGGCGCGCGGCTGCTGGGCTTTATCCGCTTTAGCATGTTCAACCAAACCCGCCGCTCGAGCCGCACGTCGCTGCCCGGCAACTTTTCGCTGACCGCCGAGCGCCCGAGCGGCCTTGGCCAGCTCACACCGGTACGTTACTTCTTGTTGTTGGAGATGGCACTTTCGTTCGCAGAGGATACTCGTCGACGCGGACACGGCCATGCTCGATGTGACGCCGTCCATGCTGTGGCTCTCGGCCAACCTCCACGACCCCGCGCCCGAGCTCTACGACATCATTTAACCTCGCGATCATAAAGAGGCTCACAATAAGATCCGCAATCTTATCTGTGAAAGCATCGAAACGCTATGGCCACATTGGAGCTACTCGGACGTTATATTATGTCGCCTTCAGCTGATCGGTCCACTGACGTGGCGTGATCGGGTCAGTGACCAAGTGCAGAACGGACGGTTGCTGTGAGAAACAGATGGCGTCGATAGACAGGCGCGTGTAGCAGCTCCCAGTCTGTGCAGGAGCCAGCAGGGCTGCTGAACGCTTTGGCTCTGAACACGACCCCACATACCGAGAGCTAGGCCGCAGTTTCGAGGCGCGTTCCTCGCATGCACGGCAGCACCTTCTCGGTCATTGACCTCCTCACGCCGCCGTCGACGGCGTCTGCGCCACGTACCTCCTGCACGGATGCTGTCAAATCGACGATCATCTTCAGACCACGGAGGCCCGGTCGCCAGCACCAACGGCGGCACCGACTTCGATGGCAAGTTGCAAGTGCAAACTCAGGTCAGCAAGCCAATCAGAAAGCGCGGCGCCTCCGACCCGATGATCTGGCGGCTCACTCTTGTAGCCATTTGCGATGGCGCTAGCGCTCTCCGCCGTGCTGCTCGCGCTCGCGCTCTGCGTGCTCGGCGCCACATTGTACCTCGTCGCTGTGCACCCCAAGGCGCGCCAGCATCCGGGGCCCGTCTTGCTCTGCATCCTCGTCTCGCACGCGCTCGCGATCGCCTTCCGGGCCGTGATGCACCTGGCGCTCCTCGCCGTCGATGGCGGTAGCGACTACTCGATCGTGGACGTGGCCAACTTGCAGCCCGACCCTGCGGCTCTCTGGCTCTTCTGGGCCATGTTCTTCTTCACGTCCGCGGCCACGTTCTGGAACCTCATGCTCGCGATCGACCTCATCTCGTCGCTCCTCAACCCATTTCTGCCCTTCCAAGCCAACAGCGTTTTGCACCACGCGGTAGCATGGCCCGGCGCGGCGCTGTGGACGATCCTCTTCCGCGCCTTTATCTGCGCCAACGGCAGCTCGAAGCACACGGGCATCTACATGGACGTCCCGCTCTACCTCGGCCTCCTCTACATTGCGATCGCGCTCTTTGTCGCTTGGCGCAAGTCGCGCATCCTCGAGACGCAGGCGCATCTCACGACGCGGCGCATGGCCAAACGCATCTTGCCGTACCTCGGTGTCTTTGCGAGCGTCGGCGTCGTGTCCATCGTCGTGTACGCCATCGATGTCTTGGACGGAAGCGTTTCGGTTACGACGAGCATGATTGACGAAGTCGTCGAGGGCCTCGATCTCATTGCTGTCTTTGCGCTCTTCCGCTTGGACGTCGGTGGCCGGCGCCGCGCCGACACGGTGCGCTGCACCAACGACGACGACGACGAGGATCAAACGGCGGGCGATCACGACGACCTCGACGTCTCCAACGTCCTGCGGCAGTCGGTCATGAAGTACACGTCCATGGGCATCATCGAGTCGGCGTCGCGGGCCGCGATGGAGCCACGCGCCGAGATCACATTCGACGAGTACGCACGGATCGAAGCCAAGACGATCGTGGTGCACGGCCGCTTCGCCAGCAGCGTCCTCGCCTTCCAGGACGTTGCGCCGGCTGTCTTTCAGCAGATTCGCCACCACTTTGGGATCGACGACCGGTCGTACATGGAGGCGTTTGCGCTCGACCAGATCCTCAACGAGCACGGCTCGGAAGGCAAGAGCGGCAACCTCTTTTACTTTACGGGTACTATGGTTTGGACGAGAAACGTCTCACAAGACAATTTGTGTTTAGCCAACCGCCAATTCATGGTCAAAAGTGTCCCAAGAGACGAGTTTGACGTGCTCCGCGGCATCCTGTATGGCAATCAAAAGGCTCAAAGGACTCACACCCAGTAGGCCGTACTACCACAGTCATCTGCAGAGCCACCCAGGCTCGTACCTCTGCCGGTACCTCGGGTGTCACTCAATCTCGCTGCCCGTCGGGTCCAAGAAGATGTACTTTGTCGTTATGCACAACCTCTTCAAGGACGGGCCCGTGCACCAACGGTTTGACCTCAAGGGCAACACGGACCGCCGCCAAGCGATCCGCTCCGATGACGTCGAGCGCGTCATCCGGCAAGCGCGCGAGCGGCTCCCAATCGCCAAGCTCATGATGGACATCGATTTTCTCAAGCTCCGACAAGCCATCCACGTCGACGACGACGTGCAGTCCGAGATGCAGTCGCAGCTCGTGGCCGACATCATGTTTCTCGCAGCGCGCGGCATCATGGATTATAGGTACGATATGACAGTCTTTCAGTGGATCTAGACCAAGTGGTGTAGCATCCTCATCGGCATCTCGCATGGGTCACTCGAAGAAGCGCCGCTGCACGACGTGATTGTCTCCAAGTACCGCGACAAGTGCTATCACGTCGGCGTTATCGACATGCTGCAGCGGTACACGTGGCGCTGGACGCTCCAGCGCTACTTCCTCGGCCTCTGTCTCTGCAAGGACATGCACAACGTGAGCGCGGTCTCGCCCAACGAGTACGGCAGCCGCCTCAAGCACTTTGTGCGCAACCGCCTCTTCTACGCCCAGAGCCCGTGCCGCGACGGCCGGAGCCTCGCGCTCGCGTCCAACTCGGACACGCACCCCATTCGCCTCAGCTACGACCTCGAGGTATGTTCTCCGCTAACAACTGAATCGTTTCTCACGCAGGGCGTCAGGACACGCTGAGCTCGTCCCCGTACATTGCCGTCTTCTCCAAGAACCCGTCGCCCCACGAGATCCTCATCAAAGACCGCGTCCCCGCTTTCTTCGTTGGCACGTAGCAAACACAGTTCAATATATAAACAAATGCAACATTCTGCGTACCTGTACAGGACGCTTGACACGCTGCGGCCATTGGCGCCCAATTTCAGCGCCCATAAGCTGCTAGCCGGACGTCGGCAAACACAAACACTAACGCGAAAGCATTTCGTTAGGTCTACATAGAACAACAGCCTAGTCTCGGAGCCGTTAGTCGTGTACGCAGGAGAACGCATTTTGGCAGGGTGTTGGGTCGAGAGAGAGTACGAGCCTTTGGTAATGAACTCGTGGGACCGTCGGCCGACTGCATTCTGGGCGTGTATAAGTCGGCGTGGACAATCAAGCGCGCGTGATTCTGTCATCAACGCTCTCAACGTGCCAGTATATACACCTCATCGACTGGACGCAGTGCGAGAGGGTAGGTTGCTCCAGTTGTTGTAAAAGGGAACCACTTGGTCGCACTCTCGGGGCGCATGGACATTCGGACGCCACCAGATTTTGGTCCATCAGCCCACCGGAAGTGTGCGATAGAGTCGTCCGTGACATACACGCATTGCTGCGCCCAGAGATGGTTTTTGAAGCCACTGGAGACGCGAACACGTCACGCTGGATGTGGATCTAAGTCTTGTAAAGTATATTCGTCGTACACTGCAGTTTCTAGCGTATTTTGCAAACGTTATTCGCGCGTCGTCGTCGAACGCAAGTCGCTGCTAGGCCATTGGCTTGACGACTGGACCATCGACGAGGGTGGCGCCTCTTGGAGGTCCCAACACCTGGTAGAACGGACCACTGCTACTACGCCACAGCTGCATCTTGTCAAGGATCCAACTGCTCTCCCTCGTTGATTGTAGGTGTCCCCGTTGCGCCCACACATCCTCAGGTCTTGGACGCCGCGCGGGTTCGGTTCGTGGGCGAGTAGAAAAATGGAGTACATCAGTGCAGATTTAGGTGGAGCGCCCCGAAGGCGACGTCATCTTCATGGCTGTTTCTCTTGTCGGCGCCGTGGCGCAAGATGCGATCCGTCATTGCAGCCGAGGTCGACGAGACGCTCTCGGCGGACGTGGCCGACGGCGGCAAGTGGGCGAACAAGTTCGAGCTCAAAGACGTGCTGCGCAAGTATGACTGCGTATTTGTGGACCGGCCTCAGATGGACAAGCCTTCACGCTTGAGTCCATGCAGCTTGCTCATTCTCGTCTGTCTCATCTGGATGACCCCGGAATAGATCATCCATGAAGTACTTCCCGAAGACCCGGTGCCGGCACTTCGGCCGCCGATTTGGAAGCCGCCGTAAAGGCAGGCAACATGGCTTTGATCGATGTGGTACGGGCTACTAGCGCGCACCACATCGATCAAAGCCATGTTGCCTGCCTTTACGGCGGCTTCCAAATCGGCGGCCGAAGTGCCGGCACCGGGTCTTCGGGAAGTACTTCATGGATGATCTATTCCGGGGTCATCCAGATGAGACAGACGAGAATGAGCAAGCTGCATGGACTCAAGCGTGAAGGCTTGTCCATCTGAGGCCGGTCCACAAATACGCAGTCATACTTGCGCAGCACGTCTTTGAGCTCGAACTTGTTCGCCCACTTGCCGCCGTCGGCCACGTCCGCCGTGGCGCAAGATGCGATCGGTCATTGCAGCCGGCGGCTTGAAATGGAAATGAAAAAGCCCTATCCGGATCGATGAGGTGACAAAAAGGGGGCCTCCTCGCCAAAGATCCATACCGGGTACCATGACCGGGTACCCTCTTTCTGTTGGAAAATGTGGCGTCCTTCCTCCCTGTACCGCTCTTGGGTCATAGTCAATTCAAGATAAAACTTTGATGGGTGCTGCTGCATCAAGATCTTCAACAATCCAGCGCAGCGGCAGATATCAAGTTCGAGGGGAAATTCGTAAGTGGACCACGAGGGAGTCATCAGCGTGATAACACGGCCAGATCCGATCTTAGGCGATGCAATTGCGAAGCGAATGCGCTCTCACACAAAAATGAATTGCTTATCGAGATATAGAAGCACTAGGCGGTGCTTATGAAGTCCTCGCTCTCGTTCACATCTTCGGCAATCGCCAATATGGCGATGCTCATGTTCAATGCACTCCAACGCATCGACATCAGATTCTGGGGGTTTATCCGGTATTTTGCTCCCGCCGGCAACCCATGGATTCTTGAAGGATATCACCCAGTACGACTACGCCTTTGTCAACACAAAGAGGGTATGCCAAAGATCGCCATCCCAATTCGGTCACAGCCTTGTCCTAATCCTAATAT